TTTGGTGGATTGTTGGCCAGGACACCGGGAGAAACTCCCTTCTCTTTTTGAATAGTGCTGTGGGACCTTTAAACATCCACCTGAACAGGCAGACAGGACCTCGGTTTAACATCCGACGGACAGGTTAAATTCATAATACCTATCTGTAAATACATATTTGAATAAATCCAACTATTTATTCCTGATATTCTAAGCTAGACATGTTGTTTAATGTACTCATGCAGAATACTGTGTAGGTGTATTTTATAAATAATATAAGTTTACAGATAACATATTATGATGTTGAAATTGTGCTTTACTTTCCAATGTTTGCACCTCCAGCGATTAAGCCCTTTAATTCTGCATCTTGATAATCCTAGCAATGATTTGTTCACCTGTTCAATTTGATATTGTTACCTGTGCAAAGAAAGAAAAATAGACCTACAGAAAATAATGCATATTTTCAAGTTGGGTTATGAAGTCTTCATTGCTCAGTGCTTGCAGGTGCACTTGTGACTACACTGTTTGTACACATTAAAGTAGCCAATACCTCTAGACTAGCTCACGGCCTCATACACTGCTATAAATATCTCACAGACCATTCATTATGCTGCATATGCAGTGATCCTACTTATTGAATAAGTAAAACATAAGCAACCTAGATTAAAGTTTTAGCTCATTGCTAATGCAATCCACAGAGAGAAAATTAATTCATACCAGTCATTACAAAGAAATTCAGTATTTGTCAAGAATACGGAGATCAATATAAGGGAACACATTCACTGTGTTCTCAACACATTAGCCACTTTTAACAACCACACGACACATTTTCTACAAGAAGTGCTGCAACAGAGTCCACATTTACTGTCAAGAAAATTTGTGAGAGTTATTGCTGTGACTCAAAAGATTGATTTTACTAATAAACACAAGGTCTTTATTATACAAACATGTTTGTTGCTAAATAAAAAGCTTTAAAAAATTTAAAGCAATAGGACATTACTTCCATACAGAAATGCGAGAAGCTATTGATCTTATATAAAGGATGATTAATGAAGGTGGTTCAAGTATCAAACCACAGAGTTTGGGCAGAACTGGAAAGACCATAAGAAGATGATGAGGAAAGGTACGGAAACATGCTTCTACTTGTGCCCCAGCTATTGGAAAAACATTTTTTTCAGTGAGAAGTTAAAACACATTTGTTACAAAATAAGCACAGTATAAGATTGGTTCACTTGTTGAAATGCATGTTTTTGAAATTCTTCATAACTTGATTGAAAGTGACTTTCACATTGCATCGAAATAATGAAAGTAATTTATTGTGTGAGTTTCACTCACCTGTTTGGTCCTGGTTTAATAGGAAAAACTAATGTAAAATTGGCCAACAATCCTTCAAATAACATTGATCACTCAATCCATGGCCTTTTGTGGGATGTTGCTATCTGCAAACCTGGCTGCCACGTTTCACCCACAAAATACACAGTCAATCCACTTTACAGCATATCCTGCGAAGCACTTTGAAATGTCGTGACAATACGATTGAAGTATTTGCTAAATTCATTCATAGTCGATAGGATGTCAACATAAGAATAATTTTTTATGCAAAGCATAATTGTCATTTGTTGGCAGCATATAAACTTTAAAAGGACATTAGAACTTAGGAACTACATTTGTACACCACTTAGTTACAGAGAATGGGCAGGCTGGAAATGTGATGCTTTTTCTATTGCCAGGAAGAGGGATACCCTGAAGACACATTGTAGGCTTGTCTGATCTGTGTTTCATGGTATTTTTGAGAATACTGTAATTCTCTCTGGATCCAAATCAAATACATTTGACAGCTTCATTTCATTTTATTGACATGTTTTCTAATGTCAGTTACATCTTGTTTCTTTCAAATTTTTTTTACTTTAAACACATTATGGATTTTTAATATTCACCCGCTGAATCTCATCTTCTGAATTTGCACATGAGACATTCAGGGAAAGTAACATTTATTTCCTATTAGAAAATGTAATAAACCGGCACTATGGAGAAAAAATTTCACATAATAAATCCAAACTAACTTGAATTTGCAATATATACAGATTTTTTGTTTTTTAAATTGAAATGGGAAATTTGAGTCACTAGTAACAGAGATGTAACTTAAAATAGCAGTGTCAGCTAGGTTATTTGGAAGGGGAAATAGAAAGTTAGCAATGGAAAGATAACCTTACCCATCATAGGTGATGGCTGGGTAATATTCTTTGGAATGGCTGTGTAAACCTCAGTTTAAAGCCTTTAAAACAGGCTTGACTGACATATCTATTGGCCAATATTGCTTACAATACTGGAACATTTAAGTAAGTCATCTTATTATTCAACTACTTATTATTCAACTAATTATTCAATTACTTGGTTGATCTAATGGGAATTGTACTTAAGTGTATAAGGAGTACTCTTGGGCAGTTTAATGGGTTGAGACTGCCAGGTGGAAGTTATGTCAGGTGAGAGTAGAATTCACATTTGATTATTCAGGTGAGGGTCTTAATAATAATCATCCTTGCATTTGATATAGCGAATTATCACATCTTCGAAACATCTCAAAGCACTTCACAGAATATACTGTAAACTGATTTGACTGTATATTTTGTGGGTGAAATGTGACATCCAATTGTGCACAGCAGTGTCCCACTTTAGTCTTTTTTTGGAAGAAATTATTACCCGGAAAAGCGATTCACCAATCGACTAACAACTTGGTTCCTACTTTGCTGCTAGGTAAACAGACACGTGTGGAGTAAGGAAACTTGCCTACGGTTTCGCCCTGGTTGGAAATCGAACCCAGGTCTCTCGCTTGGGAGGCGAGTACTCTAATCACTGAGCTACAGGACTCTGGGTTAATTGTCCTCTGGGTAAAAAAAAANTTCCAGATGTCTGTCCTGTCTGTCTAAACGTCTTGTTGTATTGTCTTGGTGCGTCAAGAAATATCCTATTTAAAATGTATATACCTCTTTAAGATTGCTTGTAAGACGACTCCTTTCAAGATTGTAAAAACATCAGAAGATAGATAATGCAAAGCTTCTAATACACAATCTAAAGATCTCAAATGTAAAAGTATATAAACGAAAAAGGCAATGCAATCACTTGTCTAGACAAAGCCACTAGTTTTAAAGATTTGGTTGAATTAGTTTTGGATACACTGGTTTTCGAGAGTTCTTAACATCAGCTATTGGGTTCTGATGAATATATTTGACGGGATGTGGAAACTCTGCCTCAATACTTTAGTTATTAATGCAGTATTGTATTTATTATTTTTCTACGATGCAGTCTATTTTATATTTGCATTATAAATAAATATCTGGTTATGTTTTTAATGATATATTTTCTAATTTTTTTTAACTAGACTAGTGTTTTTAAGTATATAATGCTAGAATCTGTAGTGATGTTGCGTATTGTTTAGAGCATTCGCCTTGCAAGCAAGAGGACCTGGGTTCAGTTCCCGGGCAGGGCGAAACGTTGGGCAAGTTTCCTTACTCCATACACCTTTGTTTACCTAGCAGTAAATAGGAACCCGTTTGTCAGTCAATTGGCGGATCGCTTGTCCGGGGGTAATAATCACTTAAAAAAAAATGATAAATTGGTCATTCAATTCACGACTGTTTGTTGGACATTGCTGTACACAATTGGCTGCTGAGTTTTGCCCACAAAATACACAGTCAATTCTCTTTACAGTATATTCTGTGAAACGCTTTGAGACAGCTCGAAGTCTTGATAAGGAGCTACACCAAATGCAAGGATTATTATTATTATCACTTTTTATTCCATTTATCAATTGCTCTGTTACAACTTGTCTGTTATGTATTACTTTTGTACTACAGGTGGAGTTGAAGCTCATTAAAATAACTCCATCATTACAAATCTCATCTACAATACTTTCTTACAGAACTCTTTGTAAAAGAAGCTTTTGCTCTAGCCCATCTAATGTTGCTTTATTGTTGAGATGCCAACTCAGAGACTTGGTAAAATGGAAATTCAGGGAAGAAAAATAATATTTGTTCTCCCACGTGGATTCTGTAAACAACAACAATTTTAACATATGACCTCTCGGGAATGTTGACTGCTGTTGAATTGAGTAGGATCAATGAATTTACTAACTTATTACAATTACTAACAAAATTTAGTAAGATCTAAAACTTTTAAAAAAGTGAAATCTTTTCTAAAATAATAAAATGTATGTAAAGCAGTTGTTGCTTATTGTATTTAAACTGAGGTTTAACAAAAAACATGTATACTTTAATAATAATAATAAAAAACATGTATACTTTGACTTTGAAAGTTCTTGAGTATATTTTGAGGTTCTATTTTAAGCTCTTCATGTAGATATAGTAGAATATTTTTTTATTGAGTTGAATTTTGAACATAATTCTGTTGTCTAAAATACATAAATTATCAATTGCTGCATTTCAATGTAATTATTGTTGACAGTAGCTTTGAGGTACATAAATAAGCAGAATAATTACTTTGGTGACAGCACATTATATATTGTTGCACTTATACACATGAGAATATGTTAACTAAAATGTTATATGCTGCTCTTTGTGTATATGTGGAGTCCTGTAGCTCAGTGGTTAGAGCACTCGCTTTGCAAGTGAGAGATCTGGGTTCGATTCCCGGCAGGGCGAAACCTTGGGCAAGTTTCCTTACTCCATACGCCCAATAATAATCCCTCCAAAAAAACAAAACAATAATAAATTGGTCATTTTGAATCCATGACTGTTTGTGGGACATTGCTGTGCGCAATTGGCTGCCGCGTTCGCCCACAAATATACGGTCAATTCACTTTACAGTGTGTTCTGTGAAGCGCTTTGGGACGTCCTCCCGACGTGAAAAGCGCTATATCAAATGCAAGGATTATTATTATTATAATAACAATAGGTGATACAGATATGCTTACCTCAGCTTCACTTACCTTCATAGTGATGCATGCAGTTGCTAACATTTGCAAGATTATTTTGCCCAGGATTAGTGTTCATTTTGTGTTGTAGGATCTGGATATTCACCACTAGAAGATGATGAAGATGTTTATGCAAATGAAGCACGTTACGCTAGATATAAAGGTGATTGCTTTACTTGCATATTAATGAATAACTACTCAAAGTGGCTGAGAGCTTTCCAATCCACAGGCAACATTCTGGTTCTAGTTTGTAATGACTGACTTATCAGAGCAGCAAAGTTTCCCTTATGTTATTAATGAAAAGACTAATTGAATTCCACTCCATTTTTGTCTAGGCAAAAATTATGTCTGGTCTAGCTGACTGTCTTCTGTAATTTAGATGGCTTCTTGGATAGCCTCTTTTATCAACTTCTGAGCCCAATGTGTTGTGATGTTTCAACACACTTACCATGTCTTGGGACCACTGGTTCAGGTCATGCTCATCTTGGAAAAATCCAGCAATTATATGGCCCACATAATATCTCTTTGTGGTGTGAAAATTATGTGAACCACACTCTCTGATCTCAATTACAATGTTTGGACTTGAGATCAGATCAAAAGATAGCATTGAACAATAGATTAATCTCTAAGACAAAAATAGCAGGATATTTTTTGCACTTGCATTCCACCGTTATTCAACCCAAGCCTCCACACTTCAAGGACAGCGTTCTTCCACCCTTCAGTCAGTCATCAGCTCAGAACGTCCCATGAAATAGTTTCCATTCTTACTTAAATCACCAATCAAAGCTTTGGATTATGTTTTGAAATGTAAGCCAACAGAGCATTAAGACATCAGATGACTGGAAAGGTCTCAATCTCTTACTACCCCTCTGAACACCCTGGCACCTATACAATGCTCCAACCTGCAATTATAAACAGCATCGAGTGAGCTCACTGAGGTATACCTTGGGTCTTTCAGATCTTACATTGATGCCAGATCTGCTGTTATCTGCTTTGTAATGTAAGATTTGAGGGCTGGACTGCTGTGGGTATACAAGGTGAGTGAAAATATTACAGCAGAAAATAACACATGTTAAATTAGACTTGGGGCTGCCACTTGTATTGATTGTAATGTAGATTGATTAATTTGTGCAACATTTAGCAGGATTGTTGCTTTAAAAACTGTTTTTGCAAAAAAAGCCGGATGATATTAACATTTATTGCCTATAATATCAATAGTAGACAGTAGTTTGTTTGGCAACTTACTGTGTAAAACCATGACAATATTAAAATAATAAAATGCAATTAAAAATGTATTTGAAATGTAGTCCAACATTAACAGGCTCAACCAAAGCCAGCCAGAGAAAAAAGGTAGATTTAAAAGGTAAGTAATAATATTGGATTTAATAAAAGAACTCCATTGTGTGATCACGTTTATAATGTTGCTAACACATTAATATAAACAATTCCACAAAAATTAAGTATCATCTTCAAGTACTAAATTAACCCTGGTTGTGTTAGTGCAAGTACTGAAATCAGACTTCCTTGGTTGCATTGGAAGTTATTTAGTATCCTTGCGTTTAATTTTATATGTGCATACTGAACTGTTTGCAATGTGTTTTACATATGAAAAAAATGCAATAATCTGTTTGTTTATTTATTATCCAGGAAACGATATAGTCTTCAAAGTGATGAAAGTGTCCACAAATTGGTATTTAGATAGCTGACAAGAGTGTGTTTGAGCTCTTGATAAACAGATAGCTTCCTAAGAGGTGTACTGAGCAAAACAGCTGGACATAAGTGTAAGGAGATTTCCAGAATCCTATATGTTCTGTGACAAAGAGACCAGATCCCAAGATGCATTGTATAAGCAGAGGGTGGGAGGGGGAATGACCTCAAGTAGGTGAAGATACGAGAGAGCATTCAACGGGGATCCTCGATGAACAAGATTCAGACTCTTTGGGTTAGGGAGTTTATCGATATTCCTCTAAATCAAATTTAACTTTCTTAATGTCATCAAATGTCAGTTAGTGATAGCTGATCAGCCAGCTTCTGATAACATTACACAGCTAACACTTAACCTTGGAGTTCTGCACATACACCAAGTACACCAAAATTGTTTTCTTTTAAAACAACCTTAAAATACAGTGTCAAGTGAAATCAGACTTCAAGCTCTGTGTAACTATACTTTGAAAAGTGAAGTAGCTTTGCTCCAGGCTATATAAATTCTGCATACATTTGTGTAAATGCAACTTCAAATCTCAAGTGTGTTCCTTGGAATTGTTCCAAAGATTAAAAATTTGTGATTCACAAAATTATTTATAGATTACTGTGTTATTATCAGTGAATGTGATTTTATTGTGAAGTGTTGGCATGCATCAAGCAATTGGAACAATCAGCAAATGAATTGAGAATATAATGGTTCTTCTCTAATAAATAGTCTCTTTCAGTGAGCAGGTAAGTCTATTTCAGTGAGATTTGGATTAATAGCCATGTAATGATATAAATGACTTGTACATTAAGCCTACCTCCAGGTGTAATGCAAAATTAACTGCTAGTGTTGATTTCTGTAAGTGTACAAAGCTGAAGGGAAATAATTAAAATATCAGGAACACATTGTTGTCATTACTAATTGTAGGACTGATCTAGTGTTAAATGTAGAAGTCACTTTTTATGGAGTCTTTTTAGTAGTGACTCCTGCACGGCTATTTCCTGAAAAAACAGTTTTTAGCCAATTGTAGGCTTTACCGTTGCAAAACAAAGTAATATTTGGGGGCAATTAAAATGTAATGTCTCCCTGATGGTCTGCTGGGTGAATCAACATCTGATGCAGTGTGACACTGTAAAACTAGATGATAGGATCATTTCTGGGTCTGTGCATAGTAAGTGCACAATGGAGCGTTCTAGTTGGCCTTAATATCCCCGGGTCAGAACAGTAAAAATATAACCAAGGACTCTGCTCCTGTTAGCAACTCGGTAACTTCTGTTGGAAAGTACATGTGCTTTAATATTGGGCAAAGACTGGATCCGTTTATAATTCTCAGCAATTGAGGCTCCACAGATTGGAAGCCATGGACTAATCTTATTAGAGCCAGCAATTGCCAAGCCAGTTATATCAGTCATAGAGTTTAACAAAAATGTTTTATTAGCATTGACAAGATTATTGAATATGTCAAATTATACACAAATGCATAATAAAATTCAGGAGTTGTGTCAGAAGTAGACTGTCATTTGAGTTTGTGATTTATTAGAATAACCACGGTACGTAAAACAGAGTTCAGAGTTGCCCCAGTATCAATTGTTGAATCAAAATGTTGGGTACTAACTATCAGCAGTGTTATGTTTTGATCACTTAGTTTAGCAAATAAAACACATTTAACTTTATTCATTGATTTAGATTTAGGCAGATTTAACATGTTCCTGAAAAGTTATTTTCATGTTCTTTTAATACAAATGACATTTTCTGTTTCACCATATTTTGTATCTGGGCAACTGAATCTAATGAACTGGATCATGCTTTTTAGAATTTGAAGTGCTCAGTAGATAGGCTTGGTGTGACATCATCCATAATATAGAGCATGGCATCTGCAACAAAGCAGTGCTCTCCCAGTACTGTCCTGGAATAGTAAACTAGGTCCCAATGTGCAATGCTGAATGAATGATGCCTATACACAGCCTAAAACAGTGAGAGTCTATTATAGGTGTGGATATTGCAAAATAATAACTGTGTATTCATTCTGTGGTTGACGCTTACAGATACTCCCTCGTGCTCTCCTTTAAAAGTCAAAAATGGTTTTGCCAATTGCAGAACCCCACGAGGTGAATATTACAGAAATGCACAAGGAACAACCTGTGATATTTCTTGTCGGAAAGGATATGAAGTCCACGGAATCACCCGTGTGACATGTTTATCGACTAAACGCTGGTCAGGAAACGTGTTCTGCAGAGGTGGGTAATTTAAAAAAAAAAAAAATAATGTTTGGAGAGTGTGGGTTGCACTCCAACAGTACCTAAAAAGTTGGTTTACTGAGAGGAGTAATACAATAAAGTTTGATTGTTATTGTTATACAGACCCTGTTAAAACATGCCTTGTTATAATGTGGGTTGTTTTGTAATGAGATTGGGTTATGTACGCTGACATTTTCTTCCTTGAAAACTGAAATCAGACCATTCAAATCTGTAATTGTGAAAAAAGGCTGATTCCTTGGTTGTCAGCGAGGTCGGTGCCAGTGTCATTTCCTGCGCACTGCACTTTGCAAAGGATGTAACATCATTGGTGCTTTGTGACTGCACATAGGAAGTGACATAAGCATTGCTCGCTGCACAAAACGTACATGCACGCAACTAGCACGAATTGAGGTCATTAGATAATCTGGAAGTTGGCCATTTTATCATGCCTCTTTATATAGCGGGCTTGAGACACTGGAGCAAAACAATCATGCTATAAAAGGGTTGTCCTGAGTCATTAGAGCAAACTGATGCAGGTGTGGTAAAGTGGAGAAAATTAAAGAAATAAAGAAAGCTTTATTAAAGAAATCAAAAGTTTACATTTTTGTAGAATTATTATTTATCTTTTCTAGAAATAAGATGCCCTAAATTTTCTTTGCCACTCCATGGAGGTGTGAAGTGTTCAGATGGAACATTTTTTAACTCCAGATGTGAGTTTTACTGTACACCTGGATACCAAGTTAAGGGACAGAAAACTGTGACGTGCATGTACAACAAAGTGTGGAATGGAAGAGAACCATCCTGTCTTGGTAAGCTTTGATGTGGTATTTTTAGGTAAGATTATCAGATGTTAAACTAGTGACTAGTGTGACACAAAGCCAAATGACAATTAAATGACTAGAATTTAAATTTTTTTTCACACATGGATGTTCTTTCCATCATAACCTTTTATGTATTTCTGTATTTTGTCAATGCTAATATAGTAATTTCACTTTAAACATCCCATTCTTGTTCCTCTTAAGCTCTGAATATGATTTAGTTTAACATTCTCTATCTCCTTGGCCTATTCAACTGTGTTGAAATCATAACTTACTGCACTGTCTGCCTTAAATTCAATTTGCTCCGGCCATTAAGAAATCTCACCTTACTTAATTTTTTTCTTATGCTATAGACCTTCACCTAGGTCCTCAATTTAAAATAAGGCAACACAGCTGCAAGTAATATGGGATCGCTGGAGGTGAAAAAAAAACTAGGGACAAATGTAACATTTACATTGCTGAGCTGCCTACAGTGGTAGGCAGTGGTGTAACATAAATAAAGAGGTACTGCTGTCTACAGAAACAGGCTCCTGCTTAATTCATGAAGATTCATGTATAATTTTAAAGCATTTAATTTATGAATGTAAAACTCATTTCACAAATTGCCTTGAATGCTTCTAATTTGACAAATAAGGTCCAATTTGTGAAATTACTTAATATATTTCAGATGGTCTGAAATGCATAATTATCACATTTCTAAAACATAGAATATGCTGAAACACATTTTATAGTTTAGAAATTCTATTATTACACAATTCCTGTTAAACTTATCAAGAAATTTCACAAATTATTAGAAATATGATAATCAGAAATTTCATTTTAAAAAAAGGTCATAAATTAGAACCCAATATAATGTTAATATGATCGCGACACTCTAGGGAATCTTGTTTCTGAACTTTTCTTTTATAGATTTGGAACCACCGAAAATAAAATGTCCCCATTTCAAAGAGAAGACAGCTGAACCAGAGAAGTTGACAGTTCGAGTGACCTGGGACACTCCTGAGGGAACAGACACCGCAGATGGCATTTTGACAAAGTAATTGTTATTTAGAGGTGATGGGAGCAACGGGTAGAAGCACTGATTAAATACCATTGTATTAATGGGAAAAGAAATACAATTCCTCGTGTAAATTGTATTGTGAGGCAAGCTTGATATTTATGACCGAGCTTCTGACTCATTGTAAAAACTAACATCAATCATAACAAAATAAATGTTCTTGATTGATTATTTCTTGATTTATGCCGTAAATCAAAAATATTCTATCGAGAAAAATCTGGAAACGCACTACCGATCAAACACGGACCTAGGCTAGTGCAACTGTTTGGGGGCCCTAACTTGCACTTAGCAATGAATCATGCAATAGTAGTCATTCAGCAAATTTCACTCATTTCAACCCACGGTCCGTAGTTTGGTCATCACTGTTGTTACAGGAAGAGAATGTATTTTAAAATAATTTGGTGCTAGACCGGGTATATGATGGGGCAAAATAAAATAATAATTTTTACATTTCATTGAGCTCCTTTTACATTGGAAGGACATTGCAAAACGCTTCACAGGACATACTGTAAATTGTAACAACTCTGTGTTTCATAATGTGAGCTGGAGTGTTTTGGCCCACAAAATACACAGTCAATCCACTTTACAAAATACAGTATTCTGTAAAGTGCTTTGAGATATCTCAATGACGTGGTAAGGCGCTATATCAGATGCAAGGATTATTATATTATAGATTGTGAGCTGTTCAATTTAATTTTTTTCAATTGGTAATTGTAAACAATGTACTCTGTATTGGATAGGAGAAGCTGTGCAGCTGCTTAAATTAACGGGGACATGACATTAAAAAACATAACTAATAAAATAGTGACAAGTAATTTACTTAAGCACCACAAGTGTTTTAAACTCTATAGTGCAGATGTAATCTTTGGAAAAAACAATAAGCCCCATATAGAGCTTTTTTAATATTTTAGTTTTGCACTTGCAACACTGCAGCTCTGGTTGCAAATAGCAATCGCAATGTTTGGTTTGTGTTTGTGCTCATTGTCAGCATTGACAATAATGGCCATGGTACCTGGAAGCTTACCTTTCATTTGAAATGATCTTCTGAATGTTAAAATGACACTAATGTCATTTTCAGCAAAATTATGGTATTTGAATCCAGAAATTTTACTTACATCTTTAGATTTTTAAACTGAAGGAAGATTAGAAGAATTTTATAAATACTGACAATCTTGTCCTTAAATTATACTTTTGCTTTTTTAATTGAAACATTTGCTCATGTCCAGAAAAGCTTACAATAATCAAACTTTCAACATTGACAAATGAAGTATCCTGTTTTCAACTAAATATTTAGAAAAAATAATATTTAAATGCACAAATGGACAATATGCAAATAAAGAGTGTAATTATCTGGATAGTTTTGAAAATCCTAGACTTATTTTGTTTGAGTATGCTCCATACAATTCAACAAGGTTCAGTATTAACATAACTTTACAGCGTTATTTTAAAAGGCCCCCCTTCTGGATCAGAATTTCCTGAGGGTGAACACAGAATTCAATACACAGTTTTTGATGGGGCTGGAAATAAGGCCTCATGCAAGTTTACAGTTAAAGTTCGTGGTAAGTGCTTATTTATTGAAAATTGAACAATGAAAACCACACAGCTTATATTGAATTAATAGTTTTTGTTTCACAGATTCAAAAAGCAGTCAAATAATAACATTTTTAAATATTTACTGACTATTTTAAATGACTTCTGTTATTAGTTAGGCGTTGTGGGAAGCTTACTCCACCTGAAAATAGTTATATGAAGTGCTCCAGTGACGGGGATAACTATGGTGCAACCTGTGAATTTTTCTGTATGAGTGGATTTGATCTACAAGGAAGCAAAGCTACCGTGTGTCAGTACAGTTACAGCTGGTCAGGACCTGTGCCAGTCTGTACACGTGAGTGCATTTTAGAGCTGCAGTTTACACTATTTCAGTTTGAATCAAAGCTGTAATGAGCTTCATAAAAATATGGTTAAATACTTAATGAAAAAAATAATGTTGAAGTAGTTTGATTGAAGTCTTTTTGTACAGCACCTCAGAGGATTTAGAGCCATTAGTTGCTAGACCCGTTGAAAAATTAAAAATCAAGCTCAACTGAGCTTTGGAATGAAAGTCTTTGATTCTATTCCTAAAACTATTTTATACCTAACAGACAGTCTGGATCCACTATGAATATTGGCCTGCTGATAAATCATTTTAGATAGCTTGATGTTGTAAAGGGAGTTGCAGGGAGATTCATAATCAGTGATAAACTGGTTTTGTATCCACCAGCTTTCATCATCAGCAACATTTTTTTCATCAAAATGAAAAGTAAGGCAGAACATTGTTTATTTGTTGCAACACATTTGGATATGAACAATGATGTGAATTGCCTCGAAAAACACATCATTTTCTTCTAATGTTTCAAATAATGTTATAATAAAACATAGAAACAGAAGTAAGCCATTCAGCCCCTCGAGCCTGTTTCACTATTTTATAAGATCATGGCTGATCTGTATCTCAACTTCAATTACCTGCCCTCGCCCCGTGTCCCTTGATACCCTGACCTAACAAATAGCTATCTACCTCAGTCTTGAATGTGTGAATGGAACCTTTTCGGGGAGAGCATTCCAGATTTCCACTACCGTTTGAGTGAAAAGCTGCCTGCTAATTTAAATCCTAAATGGCCTAGCTCTAATATTAAGATTATGCCCCCTTGTTCTGAATTCCCCGACTAGAGGAAATAATTTCTCTGCATCTACCTTATTGAATTCCTTTATTATTTTAAAAACCTCAATCAGATCACCCCTCAAACTTCTAAACTCAAGGGAATAGAGACCAAGTTTATGCAACCTGTCCTCACAATTTAACCCTTTAAGCCCTGGTATAATTCTGATGAATCTGAATTGCACTGCCTCCAGAGCCAATATATCCTTCCTGAGGTGCAGTGCCCAAAACTGAACATAATGTGCTTTAGTTGAAGCATCATTTTCTCTCCTTTATATTCCAGCCCCCTTGAGATAAAATCCCCATCCCACTAGCCTTTTTGGTAACTTTTTGGACCTGTGAGCTTGTTTTTAGTAATTTGTGTACATGGACACCCAAATCCCTTTCCTCTTACACAGTTCTTAATTTCTCACCATTTGAAAAATATTCTGTTGTTATTTTGGACCCATATTGGATGACCTCACACTTCCCCACATTGAATTCTATCTGCCACAGTTTTGCCCATTCATTTAATCTGTCTACGTCCCTTGATAACTTCCTGCTCCCATCCACACAATTTACTGTGCCTCCTAACTTTGTCATCTGCAAAGTTTGATGTAAAACTCTCAATTCTTCCATCCAAGTAATATATATATCTCTGTCTCCTGCCTCCCAACCAATTACCAAGCCACGTTGCAAGGTTACCTCCAATTCCATTTGTTTTTATTTTTGCTAGTAACATCTTGTGCGGAACCTTCTGAAAGTTCATGCAGACGACATCCATCGCTACTCTCTTATCGACCATGTTAATGACCTCCTCAAAAAATTAAATTAGATTAATTAGACATGATGTACCCTTCACAAATCCTAGAGAACACTTTATCTAAGCATTTCATTTCCAATGATTACTGAACCAGAGCTGGTTTAGTCTTACAACTAATATCTATGATGCTGTACTGGTTAGATACTGACAATTGTCTATCACTATTTTTAGGAAACAGTAAATTAATTATAAACTGATCTTTAACAAATAGCTATTAACTTAAGTTAATACCTCTGAATCTTTCTAAATTTCAGTCATGCGCTTTAATGTGCGCGTTGCTACAGCAACAGCCCTTTTGGATCAATTCTACGAGAAACGTCGATTACTGGTTATATCCACTCCTTCTGGCGCAGATTATTATTACAGGTTCCAGTTAGGATTGCTCCAGGTAAGGCTATCTTCTAGTACTGCAATCCATTAACTACTGTAGTATCAATATGCTACGACTGTGATTATCCGTGTAAATTGTTGTTGTTGTTATCAAAATCGTTGTCAAAATCAAGAGAAGTCACCTATCGCTGCATAATTGCAAGCCTTCTTTGGTATTGGCTATGGATGTACTTATAGTTGATCACTATTTATATTTGAGTTTGGGAGACTACAGAGGAAGGAGAAAATATTTAAAAATAGACATTTTATAATTACATTCTACAAAATACATGTATTTTTATAGCACTTTGTACTCTTACCATGCCAAAACATTGCAAAATGTTTCATAGTTAATTACTGTTAAGTGCAGTGATTCTTTTTCACAGGCAGATGAATGAGTCATTTGCATAATCTTACCAGGAATTACTGTCAATTAGGGCTCTTGTTTACTGTAATCCTCATGATGGAATGATTTATCCTTTTTAATACCGTATATATAGAAATGAGTAATACTTTGGTTACTGCGGTGTACTGGGCGAATTCTAGTTAGTATTGTAATTGTTGTGCTGAATATTGGATATAGAGATATACACAACCTACAGTTTTAGTTTTTATGAAAGGTGTAGGTAAAAATCTCTATGTGATATACTTTAGCTGGAAAATAAAACATTATCACGTGACCTGTGACAGTCTGTGAGGCTCTCCTACATGGATAAGTGTGTGTGTGGGGGTCGGTGGGTGGAGGTGGGGATTTAATATGATGTGGTGCTTTTAAATCTACGGTGGTCCTTTTCAAATAGACATTCCCACCTTGTTTAGCAAGCCTCTACAGATAATTGATTGATGGCTTTTATGTTCTGTGATATCGATATGCTTCAGTTAAACCCTTTTAAACAGTGCCTCAAACACGTTAGTGTATTTTCGTCTCCCACAAACACAGTGAGGAAGATTAGAGTTCAGCAATAGGAGAATGAACTTTTCATGCTGTAATATTGAATGACATACATGGACATGATGTTGAGGGTGTACAGATAGGTCCAAAATCATTAACAAATCTGTTGGAACATTTAATGATTTTTGACATTTTGAGGTCAAATCATGTTTTCCTCCTAATGTAGTCCTAGTTCAGTGATCCTACTCTGAAATAAATCTATTGGCCTTACAGCCGCTGTATTTCCCATCTTGCCAACTACGTTGATGCTATGCCAATGTAATAGTAATAATAATCCATGCATTTGATATAATGCCTTTCACATCAGGAGGATGTCCCAAAGTGCTTCACAGGATAGATTGTAAAGCGGAATGACTGTGCTTTTGTGGGAGCCAATTTGCGCACGGCACAGCAATGCCCCACAAATCTTCGCTAATGTGTTTGAGGCTCATACCATTAACCTGGAGTGTTAAACGGTTACTCATGTGCAGTTTGGCTGTTTGACATGATTGGAACTGATAATAGTCTATAGCAGATCTAATACAGAGTGATAAACAGTGTGCGGTGTAGAAAGAGTTGATCAGTACTGGTAATCAACTTGTGGCAGTGTGATGGTTGGTTAACAATACAGATTAGCAGGAAATGATACCCAATGATCGCAGCCTGAGGAGGTCGATAATCAAATGTGATTCCCAGCCTCGCCAGTGGGCAACTCTTGCCTTCTTAAACTGACTACCCAAATCAGGGAGAAAAACAGAAAATCTTGAGTGAGAGACATGGTTCAGGATCAGCTATTGATTATCAGTTGGGGGACACAAACCAAAATGGGAATGGGCAATTATTGGAGGGGCAAAGAAATGCAGAGCAAGATATTACAGTCTGTTCTGACAAGGAGCTATAGTTATAGATATGCCAAAGCAGCAGGACAAGACATCACAGAATCAAAAAGTTGTGAAGGACAGTCATAAATAAGTATTTCTTTGCACAGTGTGTAGACAACAGCTGGAATGAGTTACGAGGCTGGGTGGTTGAGGCCTGGGCTCATTTAAGAAACAGCTTGTTATTGTAAAGGAAAAATGGCAAGATTGGTATCTAGGATAGGTTCTATCTTCTATGTATGCTGGTTCAGTTGGTACCACTCTCACCGCTAAGGCAAGTTTAGTATTAGGTGTTCAAGTCCCATGTCTATGCTGACATACCAGTGCAATGCTAGAAGAATGCTATATTGTTAGAGGTTCCAGATGAGATAAAATAGTCTTATCTGTTCAGGTGGTGGTAAAGTTTCAATGACATTATTTAAAAAGAGAATGCAGTTCTCCAGTGTCATTGTCAACAGTAAAATACTCTGAAATGCTTTGAGACGTTTCAACAACGTGATAAGGGGCCCTATCAAATACAAAGATTATTATTATTTTGGAAGGAAGAGATACAGTGGTTTGAAGGGGCACTTTATCCAAATTTCTCTTAAGATCTGCTTTTTTTTAAAAAAAGCTTATACAACTATCATGACAATGCCATGGTGTACATACAACCTTTTATTACAAATACGTGATTAATTTTTTTTATATAAAATGTATAACATTTCAATGTGTCGTGGACCTTTTATACCAAAACTGATCTGTTGAAAGTAAAGATATTTAAATGTGAATTTTATATTAAAGATATTTCTTCCAATTTCTTTTAGCACGTTTCATGTGGCCTAGACTTGAGACATGTCACTGTCATCGAACTAGTTGGTGTTTACCCCGTGCAAATAGGGAGAATGAGTGAACAATTTTTATCACCATCACTTGTTTTGCAACTGAGGTAAGATACAACATAATGGTAAAGTTGCTTCTGCAGTTTTGAAACGAAATGAATGTCCAATTTGAAGAGCCCTTCAAACATAAAATACATATCTTGTGGTATTCTCATGCACCAAATTACTTGCTTGATCTATATCTCGCAGCACCTCGCAGTTTTAAATAGTTGTAGCATTTTTTTCTAATGAAAATAAAATGAGCCTTCTGAATCTCTTTAGAGGGCATCATTTTTCCTCACGTTTTGCTGAACTGGCTCAAAAGGACCCAGTTAAGCAAAAACTCAACAACAACAACAAGATTCCATTTATAACTCAAGAGAACATTAGTTCATGCATGTTATTGCCAGACCTCCATCAGTGCTATTTTTCACTGACTGCCACGATGCATACAAGAGAACTTATTGGCAACTGCCTCGTCATTTCAACTCCCACCAAAGCAATGTGACTACAATTGCACTTATGTACTCCATGTGCCTTTCTTTAGTGCTCCAAAGTGTAAAGGCATTATGCTGCCAACGTCCATGAGGTTATTTTAAATGTTGCAGTACTTGTTTTAATTGCTGTTTAATATATTAATATCGTATTCGCCCACAAAATACATAGTCACTACACTTTACAGTGAATCCCGTGAAGTGCTTTGAGATGTCTCCGTGATGTGATAAGGCACTGTATCAAATACTAGCATTATTATTATTCACTTTAATTTAGTTTCAATGACATGATAAGGCTCTGTATCAAATGGGAATCAACAAGCCTAAATCCTTCCAAAAGGATTTTTNAAAATAATCAAAACTCTTGTTTTCACTGGTTTGTGGGTTTATGTTAAAGTAAACATAATTTTATTTCTCTCAAGGGGCTGGTCATGGAACCTGTCTCTTGCTCAGTGCACTTTATTAATATGCTACAATAAAGAGAGGTAGAATTCTGCACTTGTCCCTGTTGCACCACAGGAACCAAAAAGCAAAATGATGCGTTATTTTCTTGTTATTTTTCCACTCTTTAAATCTTTAATTATAAGAAGGAAACGTAGTATGCAACTATGAAGCATCTGCCACTGCTACTCTTGAGCCTCTGTGAGGAATTGAAGAGTAAAGTGGGTTTTTCTCTGATGTCCTCTCTGAGCCTTTGTTCCTAATTCCCTTCAACTCACTTTCCCTATAGATAGCTTTGAAAAGAGCTATCCAATTCAATCCCACTCCCCCACTCTCTCCTCATAGCTCTGCAAACTTGTCCTCCCCAAATAATTATCACCTTCACTCTTAAAAGTTGTTATCGAATCAGCTTCCACCACCCTTTCAGGCAATGCATTCCAGATCCGAACAACTCTGTGTGAAAAACTTTCTCCTCACCTCCCTTCTGTTTCTTTTAACAACTATTTTAAATCTGTGTCCTCGGGTTACCGACCCACCCGCCAGTGGAAATAATTTCTCCTTGTTCACCCTATCGAATCCCCTCAAATTTTGAAAACTTCTATTCAGTCTCCTCTTAACCTCCTCTGCTCCAAGGAGAATAATCCTAGCTTCTCTAGCCTCTCCTCATAACTGAAGTCCCTTATTCCTGGTACCATCCTAACCATTGAACATTCACAAGAAATCTCCCCTGAGCCTGTGAATGAATCTCAACTATAGATTATCTTGACCTCCTGTTTTAAGATAATAATAGATAATAATAATCCTTATATTTGACACTATGCCTAATCACTTCGTTGTGACGTATCAAAGCCTTCACAGGATATTCTGTGATGAGGGGTACATAGGAAGAAGTAGCAACCATAATGTAGAAATTGTGGCTGAATGAGTATAAAGATTGAAAAGAATTCAGCAGCTATTGTTGACACAATTTGAAGGTAGAACCTATTTATGGATTCCTGTAGCTCAGTGGTGAGAACACTCGCCTCACAAGCGAGAGATCTGGGCTCAATTCCTGGCAGGGCAAAATGTTGGGCAAGCTTCCTTACTCCACACTCCTCTGTTTACCTAGCAGTAAGAAGGAACCCGATTTTTAATCGATTGACGGATCGCTTTTCCGGGGTTAATAATTGATTCTAAAAAGAATAATAATAAATTTGTTACTTCAATCGACAACTGTTTCTAGGACACTGCTGTGTGCAATTGACTGTGCATTTCGCCCACAAAATATACAGTCAATTCACTTTACAGTATATTATATGAAGCACTTTGAGACGTCTCGAAGACCTGAAAAGGTGCTATATCAAATGCAAGGATTATTATTTAAAATGTTAGAGATGTTGGACATACAGATAAAACTTAGTATTAAAGGTATTTTAATTTTAAAGGTATGTCTCCATATCCCTAATATACTGTATAGCGAGACATTACCCCTCGTGAAGTGTATTATATGAATGCAAGTTGTTGCTGTATATATGTTTCCTTTTTCTCAATCTTTAAATCTTTCATGAATGCATTTCATTATTCGTTGACAGGCTATTGCATCAGATTTCACAGCGGAATTTCAACATGGTCCTTTTTGACAAAAATGGCATGGACAAAGAGCGTTACCCTTTCCCAGTCACTCCTGCAGAGCTCTTCACTTTGATTGATACATTTCCCTTGCGAAAAGAAGAAATGAAATTGCAAGCTGCAAATGGCCAATCTTGCAATTGATTTCCACAAATCAGTTTCAATCTTCAGTGGCCAACAGCAGTTTGGTGGATGTATTTTGCAAGTTGTAAGCGCAAATTGGAAAGTTCTATTATTCCAACATTATAAAAGTAATAGTTACTGATTCTCTGGAGCTCTTTGTTGTATTTTGCTAAAATGCAGCGTGCTGTTTAATATTATGCGTATAAATTATTGTGCATATTTTCATCTACATCCTACTTCCAATTAAAGCTACACTATATCATGTGATAAAGATTTGAAAATACTGTAATAGGCTGACTAGGTTTGCAAATGTTCCAGAAATATTCATTTTTACTATTTTTCTGCAGTTCAAGAAGTACAGGTTTTGGACTTTAGTGCTATAATGAGCATTTTTTTATCAATTCTTATAACCAGAAAGTTTCAGCTTCTCTTCCTTCACCCATAATGGTTCAGCAGCTGCCCTTTCAAATCAGTGAAAAATAAAAAAAGGCATCCTGCAGCCTGAGTACATATTGTAACTGTGGGCGATGATAACTTTTACACTGAAGAAAATGAGGCCACTTTAGGTGGTATTAATTATGGTTCACACATTGAAATGCACATTTAATAATATAACAGGAAATGTTTTATACAGCTGAATTTAATTATTGAGGTTGAGGGGGAGAAGAAACTGATCCAATCAGCCATGTGTTTGAGTTGTGAAACACCATGGAGCACTATAAATCAAACAAAGTGAGATTTACTTCTGCTGACCCATGCAAAGAAATATCATTCAGGTAATATTGCCTTACATTATTCTGAGAAGACCATTTGGAATTAGAAGGAAGTGCAACAATTAAAGGGGGAAATAGTTTATCTGTTGCAACTGAAATGAGCCAAGACACCGGTTGTGAGAACATAAAAATAAAGGCCGTACTCCACAAAAAATATTTCTGACATTTGTTTCTTTAATGTGATGAAAAACACCACAGGTATAATTTTTGATTCTAGTGTATACTTTTAGGCAAGTGTGTAGTCTCCCTCACTGCACTCTTGCATAGCATTATTAAATAAAAAGCAAACACATTTTAAAAATATGTTTTTTCTGTGCATTGTTTACTATATCACAGGAATTTGTTAAATACTAGAAAAATGCATATGTAATACAATATAAATATCATTCATCAATATATGTTACCATAATCTGTGCTAAAAAATACTGCTTATTTTATTAATTTTCATTTCTGGCACTCATTGGAGGTCATTTGGTGGTTCAGGGCATTGTTGTGCACTTTGTGGAATTTCAGCTCCAGGATGTCTGATGTGCTGTGATTTGATATGAAGCTTTTGGGTCAATGAATTTGATGAAAGGTTTAACTAATATATAAAAATAATCAGCTTCAGAAACACCTGTCACATTTACTTTGGTTGTCATTTTCTGCTCTTCATTACCACAGTTGTACACTAACACATTCATTGTTATAAGGCATGTACATTGTTCATGCTCATTCAAGTAGTAAATCTGCATAATTGCATGAGCATAACTTTCAACTGCTTTCAGTTGGGCTTTTACTCTCTACTTTTAAGTCAGAATATAGTGTATCTACTGCATAACTGTCTAAAGTACCCAAATACCTTACAATCTTAAAAAAAGCATGTCAGTGCTTTAAAAACATATTTTTACATTTATAATTGACATGCTCAACAATTAAGTCCACTCTGTTGACAGCAAATGAAGGGCATTATACAAATGCAAGCTATTGTCAAATAATATTTCTTAGATTTAGCTCAAAGACATTGCTTGACAGAATGGATACGGCACTTAATAGTTGAAGATAAATCAATCTTCAAGAATGGTGTTCATCTCTTAGCTTCAGCATAATAAGCAGATCCCACTGAAATGAATAAATAAAAACAAAGCTTAGTTTCATCCCACCCGCAAAGCATTTGCAAAAGGACTTGCAAAAATAGAAATATACAGAATGAGAAAAGCCCATCATGCCAACTCTTTCCACTGACCAAGCAAACTCAAACCCCTGAGAAATATTGTGGATGGTTACTCCCAGAATCCCAAAGATAATCAAACAAAATCTATTCAAATAAATGTAATGAATTGTTAAGCATTCTAGATCAGAACCTTGTTCAGCAAAGTGATCAAATTAGTACATTTCACAGTCCAAATGACCATTGGATCTTTTGTTAATCTTCAAATCACACTTGATTTCAAATACACTTTATTTTCTTAAAGTTGAAACTATACATGCCACGGTAGGACAAATGACTGAGCGTTTGGCTCTTGAGAAGAGGAAGGTTGGCACTCAAGTCGCTCTAATCTGCCTGCCACAATTGAGAATATTTTACAGTTCTTCTTTAAGCCACTGGGTGGGAGTGGTGTTTAAAGACATAATTTGGGGTTAGAAACTGCAGGTTATGGTTTGAATCTCACCACTTTCCATTTTTATCAAAAAGTGACTATTTGTTACTGGTTGAAAGGAGTATAACCAGCTGGCCTGCAATGTCATTCCTTGCAACCAGAACTGACAGGCAAGTTGGATTAAAGTTTCCTACAAGGAATTTTTGGATTTTAGTAATGTCAGTGCTTTAAAAAGTTACTAAAGATTTATAGACTTTCAACAGAATATTGCTCTTCACTTGTTTTTTATTCTGAATATTTGTAAAAATTCCTTGCAGGATAAGCACCGCAAATGACAATATCAAGTATGTAAATGATTCCAAATGTGTAAATCTTTAGTACTTAATGTCAGTTTGGCCAGTTAGGTGCAATTTCATTGTTAGATCCAAGGTTGTAAATAAAAGCCCTTGGTGTATGATTTGAGTTCATGGTCTTGGTTGATAGTTCCAATGCAGTAGATGGACAGTGCTGTATTGTCAAAGGAGCTGTACTTTTAGATGACATGTAAAACTGGGCTTCCGATATGCTCCAGTTCTACAGAATATAGTATGGGCATTCTCAGCACAGCTGTTAGTAGGAGATTGTTGCCATGTTTGCCTATAAAACCAGTAATTATACTGAACAATAACAACCACAAATAATAATCCTTAATAATAATCCTTGCATTTGATATAGCGCTTTTCACGTCAGGAGGACGTCCCAAAGCGCTTCACAGAACACACACTGTAAAGTGAATTGACTGTATATTTGTGGGCGAACGCGGCAGCCAATTGCGCACAGCAATGTCCCACAAACAGTCGTAGATTGAAAATGACCAATTTATTATTGTTTGGGGTTTTTGGAGGGATTATTATTAGGCGTGTGGAGTAAGGAAACTTGCCCAAGGTTTCGCCCTGCCTGGAATTGAACTCAGGTCTCTCACTTGCAAAGCGAGTGCTCTAACCAGGTGAAAAATGCAACTGCTTTTTTAATTGTAGTATCTTATTATTTGTATATACCTTGTGGGCTTTGGCTACAAAATAGTTTAGGTGATAACATTCTCAAGCTTATGAGGGATTCCTTTTATAATAATAATAATAATTGTTGCCAAAACAAACTCTTTTAGTGGCCCTTTATGTTCTGGAATCCCATAAAAAAACTTTTTTTTGAATAGCTGAAAATGCAGATTTAACTGTCTTGAGACATCGCTAGATATAATATATAGCAATTCTTGCCAAACCATGGAATATTGCTAGTTTCAGTCCCTTCAACCTTTTGGGTTTGTTAAGTGGTCCACTACCCTGCATGACGAGAGCTATATAAATGCAAGTTGCTGTTGTTGATGATGTTGCAATGGAGGGAGCCATTAGCATATTTCAGTCATATATAAATGCAAGGATTATTATTATAAGCATCTTCTGAAGTTGATATTGCCAAGAGGTAGTAAACATTTAGCTCAAGATTTCTTTATCCCAGACAATAAACACTGGATCATGTGCTTGTTAATTATTCATGTCAGTTTAATAACATGTTTAACTGATGAAGTCTTTTATTCAAGATGTCTTATTGGAACGTAAACTACATATTCATAATTCAAAAATGTTTATACCTTGTACTATGTTCCTCACAGCTTTGTAAACCTTGGGATGGTGTTGAATCCATCTATGAGGTGATGTAGTTCTGGATCTTTCAGCAGTGTTTTTTGGCTGTGAGCTTTCTTTACCTTAATATTAAACACCTTTCATCTTGTTACCGAGATTGTGCTTTTTTATAATAGTTTCCATGCTGATATACTGTGATATCAAATCCATTCTAAATTGATGCATATATTATTTCTCTTTGTAATCAAAATGCAATTATACAGTAATTGCAATAGGTACAAATATAAAATGTTCATTCTTTGGGAAAAACAAATGAATTTTGGAAATATTTCTGTTTGATTTCATCTTTTTAATATTGAAACAATTTAACATATGTCTAGCCTATCAAACAAAAAATCTATTATTGTTATTCTGTACAACTCCAGTATTGTTTTAATCAAGAAGTAATGGTAGATATATTTTGCTTTTACACAGTTTCATTATATTCATTGTTAGTATTGTGTTTAAATGGGGTGATTCTGCGCAATTTCCTTTGCAGATAATGTACTAAAGAATCAAAATAAAAATATTATATTCAAAATGTATGAAAGGAACACAGAAAACCTAATTTACTGATCCTAGTTTATATAATAATATGGCTGTGCAAGATAATGTTATCCCATATATTATAGGTTTCAGATCATAAATCTAGATTCAAGGACAACACAGACCAATCATTTTCTATTTCCTTTTGTCCTTTCACAGTCTGCACAAAGAAATTTAATTGGAATTGAACATGAGCTAAAAGGTCACTTAGCTCTGGTCATTTGGTAGCCAATCTGCTATTGTGATGCTATTGGTCTGAAATAGGTAATCCAAACTCCAGTGACATGGTACACATTATATCAGGATGCACAATTGCTATAATGATTATGATAGCCCAACCGTTTATAATTATCAATAATAATCATGAGAATTTATTTCCTGAACAAAAGGGTGCTTATGACCAATTGTACAATGGTAACAAGAACCTGGGAAATAATAGAAAGAATTATCCTTCAATAACAACTTTTAAGAGAGAAGTAGATAATTATTTGGGGAGTACAAGTTTGCAGGGCTATGGGGAGAGAGCGGGAAGTGGGATTGATTTGAGTAGTTCTCTTCAAAGAGCCGGCACAGACACACCAGGCCAAATGGCTTCTGTCTGTGCTGTATAATTCCTTGATAACAATATTTTTATTTTTCAGTAAAAAAATCCCTCTTTCCATATTTCAGAAAAAGTACACAAACATTTGGTGATAAATGCTTGTCAAATATATCAAACACCCCAGGCTTTGACGTGCTTTGATCAGAAAACTAGCTACCTTAGAGATTAACTGTAGAAACCTTATTTTTAATTAGATACTGAAAGAGGAATGTAGTTCAAATGAATTCTCAAGCTGTCATCATAGTATGGCGCCATCCTGGGATATTCCTTTCATGATAATTTGTTCAATATGTAATGTTGGCACACACTGGCTTTTTGTACACAAAATCTTCATATGAAGTAATTGCACACAAGATTTTACTGTTGGTTGGACAGGAAATTCTTTGTGAACATTTCATGTTGGGTGAGAAAGCTTGCTCCAAGTTGGGATATGCAGTTTCATTTATAGCTACTGATTTTAATGTTCATGCTAGTATTGTGCATTACCAAGTATACTACAGCCTGTTTATGGGGGTTTATTTGCAAGCTATTTAAAAAAGAGTAAGCTTATAGTGAAAATATATAAAGTCTCTGACCTGCTGACTGCCTACCAACCTGCCCGCTCCCTCCGTTCATCAGGCTCCGGTCTGCTCCATGTCTCCCGCCCGACCCGCCCTACCATCGGTGGCGGGCTTTCAGCCTCTCTGCCCCCAAACTCTGGAACTCCATCCCACTGTCCCTTCACCTCGCTTCCTCCCTTGCCTCCTTCAAGGCAGGTCTCCTTTACTTCAACTGTGCCTTTGGTCTCCCTCCCACCTCTTTGCCTTCCCTCACCCCTACACCACCCCTCCCCCATGCTCAGGCTCCAACACCTGACTGTTCAGCGCTTTGGGACATCATCCCGATGTAAAAGGCGTTCTATAAATATAATGGTGTTGTTGTTGTTGTATTTGCTGCATCATTGGAGATACAGAGTGATAGAGAAAAGTAAAACTTGTATAATTGTGAGATATTGTACATGGTTATTTTATAATCATCACCTTAAACATTTATAAAGCAACAACTTGCACTTATATAGCGCCCTCCACGCAGGGTAGCATCTCAGAGAGTTTAACGGTGGCGAAGCCTGACTCCGAGCTGGGGGGAGGGGGGAGGTGGCCGTAAGCATGGTTGAAAAGGAAGGTTTTCAGGCAAGACTTGAAAAAGGGGAGAGAGGGTACAAGGCGGAGGGATTGAGGGAGAGCATTCCAGAGTTTCGGGGTGTGGTGGCTGAATGTGTGACCTCCAATGGTGGGGCGGAGAGTGCGAGGGACATGCTGGTTGGCCGGTGCCAGTTGAACGGTGGTGCCGGGTGGTGGATTGGAGAATGAGGAGGTTGGAGAGGTAGGGAGGTGCCAGAGAGTGAAGGGATTTGAAAACGAGTGTGAGGATCTCAAAGTCGATCCATTCAGTGATGGGGAGCCGGTGGAGCCTGGTCAGAACTGGTGAGATGTGGGTATGGAGTTTGGTTCAGGTAAGGATGAGGGCAGCAGAGTTCTGAATGAGCTGGACTTTTTGAATAGTGGAGCTGGGGAGACTGGCGAGGAGTGTGTTTGAGTAATCCAGGTGGGAGGTGACAAATGCATGCATGAGGGTTTCAGCTGCATTTGTGGTAAGGTATGGTCGGAGGTGGGCAACGTGGCTGAGGTGGAGGAAGGCGGTCCTGATCAGTAACTGGATGTGGGGAAGAAAGGACATCTGGGGGTCAAACTGGATGCCTAGATTGCGCACTGTTTCAATGAGTCTGAGGGAGAGCCCAGGGAAGTTGAGGAGTTCAGATCCGCAAGAGTGAAGATGTTGATGGGAGCCAAGGAGTATGGCTTCTGTCCTGATCACATTCAGCTGCAGGAAGTGTACACTCATTCAGGCCCTGATGTCTGCCAGACAAGCTAACAGTACATCAGCGGACCTGGAGTCACAGCTGGAGGAGGCAATGTAAATTTGTGTGTCTTCCCCATACATGTGGAAGTTTATCCCATGACTGTGGATGACGTTGCCAAGTGGGAGCATATAGATGAAGAAAAGAAGGGGGCCAAGGATGGAGGCCTGGGGTACCCCGCAGGTGTCAAGACTGGGGCGGGAGGAGAAATCATTTGTTGAGGTGAAATGGAGGGGGTTGCTTAAGTGGGATTTGAACCATGTGAGTGCTGTTCCACTAAGGTAGATGAGGGAGGAGAGGCAGTGGAGAAGGATGGTGTGATCGATTGTGTCAGACACGGCAGAGAGACCCAGGAGGATGAGGAGGCAGAGGGAGCCCTGGTCACGAATAGAGAGGATGTCATTTGTGACTTTGACAAGCGCTGTCATTGTGCTGTGAGCAGGGCAAAAACCAAACTACAGGGGCTCAAGGAAGGAGTGGAGGGAGGGGTGTGACTGAAGTTGACCTGCAACAATGCTTTCCAGGAAATTGACAAGGAAAGGTAGTTTGGAGATGGGATGGTAGTGTGAGAGATTAGAGGGATTGAGGGTGGGTTTTTGTGGAGGGGTGTGATGACAGATGTTTCAAGGGGGAGTGGAACAGAGCCTGAGGAGAGAGACTGGTTGACCATGTTGGGCAGCGGGGAAGTTGAGTGACCAGAAGCTGGGTGGGGAGGGGGTCAAGGCAGCAGGTGAACTTCATGCGGGTGAGAGGGAGGTGGGAGAAATGGGGGCAGAGGAGTGTTAGGAGGGGGGAGTGGCAAGAGCTGTGGCAGAGGATGAAAGTGGTTTAGATGGTCTGGGTGGGGTGGAAGGGGACATGGGGGGTGGGGGTGGGAGAGGACGATGTAGCCAAGTGGATGTTTTCAATCTTTGAGGCAAAGAAGTCTGGGCCCCTCAACTTGGCGTTTGATGTAAGGATAGAGGGAGCTTGAGAGGATGCATGGAGGGTGGAGAACAGTGTCTTCAGGTTGTTTTTGGCCTCCAGGATGACTTTGGAGTAAACCTTTTGGCCTGTGAAAGGGAGAGGCGGTACGTGCGGAGGTGCTTGAGCCACAGATGGTGAATTGGAAGGCCAAATTCTGCCATCGGTGCCCGGGTTTGAGTTTTAAGTAAGCAGGGGGAGCGGGTGGGTTTGGAAACAACCCTAGATTTGAGGGGAGCCAGGGAATTAAAAGTTGTGGAAAGACAGTCATTCAGCAGCTTGATGGCTGCATCAAGATAACTGCAGGTGGAGGGACAGAGGGAGCGGAGGTCCTAGAAAGAGAGGGCATTTTTAAGGTTTTGGGGCTTGGGGAAGCTTTTTACAGAGATCGAAAAAGATGGTGGAAGGCTTGGAAGCGGGGAAAGGGATGCGAGAGGAGAGAAAGATAAGGAAGTGGTCCGAGATAGCTTTGTCCATGATAGACAGATAGGAAATGTCATGGCCATGTGTGATGACAAGGTCGAGGGAATGGCCATGGTTGTGGGTTGGTGAGTTGATGTGGAGAGTGAGGTTTAGGGAGAAGAGGAGAGCAGTGAAATCCAAGGAGATGGTGCAAGGGGAGTTAAGGTGGAAATCACCCATTATGAGCAGGTATTCAGTGCAGAGAGACAGGGATGAGTGGAGAGAAGAGATATCAGTGAGGAAGGAGCCAGGAGATTGGGGGGGTGGTGGGGGGGTAAACTAGGAGAATTTTGAGAGGGAGGAGGGATGGTAGAGGGTGAGGTTCTCAAAGGAGGAGAAACAGCCAGAGGAATAGGGGGATACACCAAGGGAAGCTTGGGAAATGAGGGCCACCCCCATTGCCACATTGGTTGGGGAGGGGGGTCTGGTGAAAAGCATAGCCAGAAGGGGAGGCATCAATGAGGGGGACAGGGTCACTGGGGGAGAACTAGGTTTCCATAAACCCAAGAATATCGATCTGCTCATCCAGGATGAGGTCATGGATAGTAAGAATTTATTTGAGAAGGAGTGGACATTTTGGAGCGAAATGCAGATAGGTTTGCTGGTGGGGAGGGAGGATTTGGGATCGTGGGGTGAAAGACCATGGAGTTTGAGGAGGAGGGAGAGTTGGAGAGGGTATGGATGAGGGAGGGGGGGGGGTGTACACAAATGTATTAGAATAAATGAACATTTTATGGTGGCACAATTTGTTTATTGTTGTAAAGGTGCAGAAATGTAAACAGTTTAAATTTGCAACATTTTTCAGAAGAGGGTAACCTGGTACAGAATAGATAAAATATTACATCAATTTGCATTTTTTTCCATCCAAGTCCAATGCATTTTCTAGAGTTGTTGCCCACAATTAATAATGTTTAGTTACTGCTAATAATAACTCAATGACTTTATTTCAAACTAAATTTGTCATTGCTTGCTAATAGTCAGGTAATTGCCTACAAAATCAAGCACTATATTTGACAGTACTTATCCATGCACTAAGCACTAAAAAATAAAAGTTCTTTATTCTATTTTCTAATCGAAGAATTTCACTGTCCATATTGCACATCTAGTGAACTAATTCTGCGGGAGGAGTGCTCATAGATGATACTTAAGTGATTTTTTTTATCCATTAGTAGTTAATAACTCAGAATCCATAATTATAAAATTGTGGTTGTTACTAAAATTCAAATGATTGTTTCATAGTTGTAATGTGTTGCAAACTTTGAATAAGACTGCCAGGAGCTGTGCTCAGAATTTCAGGAGTCCCATCTAAAATTTCACTTGGGACAAATATTCAGACCAATGCAAAGCTTTAGAAAGTCTCCTTTTTGTAATTTGCACTGCTTTTACTGTGATATTTACCCGCATGGTGTACATAGTGAATCATTTCATGTACACTAACAGATGCCACATTACTTACTTGTACATTAGATTACTAATGATACTACAGACACCACAGATGGCAGTTACACTCATGAGGCTTTTGCATGCCTGTTGAAGTGCCTGCAGTTCCAATGAACACTAAATGCCTTTCTGTAAAATATAATTTCTATGTGCCTACTGTTTCTGTTTTGAAGCACTATCACTTTGAATATGCGATGAAGACACAACGTATGAAGACAGAATTCATACTTTTGACTCAAGTTTTCAAATGCTCCTACTGATAATGTTATCTCCAAAGAATCTTCAATGGTAAAATTTACCACCAAATTCACTTTCTGCTCCAACAACATTACTTCCCAGGACATTGTTCATATACTTTGGTGACATTATACAGTAGAGCTTCTTCTGCTCTGTGGCTATAATTGTAGATGGTGAATTCAACAGTCATTGGAGTGCTGATATATGATAGATTGATTTGGTCCAGGATAACCATATGACATGTACTGCTCTGAAACTTAATGAAACCAGAACACTGCCTGCAGATTATTGGAAATGACATTTTTTAATATTGGGGTTGTGGTTGGATAATCTAAAGATCTTTGCGATGATAGCAGGAGCTTAAGCATTAAATTACATTGAATTCTACATGTAGTTTTCAAAGACAACAACATTTAAATCTTAATTCAGACTTGTGTTTAATATAACTACAAATGTATTTATTCTCACAATGGGATTCTGATTCTAGCTTTATAATAGCAGAGAGGATCACATCTATGTCCTAATAGGGTGGGAGCCATTATCAAAGGGCAAGTCCCTCTCAGATACCCAATTTGTGGCTAGTTTAAAGCAGAATTGGCAGTAGTGTGGAGCCACATCAGCAGCCACAAGTTCTCCTATAGCTTTTGGTGCAAATAAACAAACAAATAAAAAAACTACTACCTCAGTTATACCAAGAAATAAGGAATCAAAGATGATTTCATTTTTGATGGTATTTGATCTTAGAAACATGGCTATATATTTCTCCATCCATTAGCCGAGGTGCTCAAAATTCCTGATAACTGAGCCATGAATGCATAAATACTTGAGGAAATTGTCCTCTCAACTATTGCACCAGCAATTTCAACATCTGCTGCAAGAGCTATTTAACATAATCCCAAGGAAATGGATATTAGAAATGAAAAAGAATAAAAATGTAGCTGTATAAAACATAAGATACGATCACAGACAATCACAGTCATATCAGTCTCAATGATATTAGAATTTGGGGAACAGCATTCAGTGTTGTGTTGAATTTTCTACCCTGCGACATTCAAAATTTTTGCTTTCCCATGCTGGATCTCAGCATTATTGTGCTCTCCACACAGACATCTGGATTTGCTATCATTTGAAGCCACATATGCTGCTCTTCCCCTTGGGAATCAGCCCAATCAACTTCATTGCCATAGCTACGCCCTGTGGAACAACAAATATTTGAAAAATGAACATTTAGGTGCCTTGATGATAATTTTTTTCTATTCATCTATTCAAAGAATATTTTGAGTTGTATAATACATTTCTTAATCTGTGAGATGAACAATACAAATTGCTTTAACAAATAGTAAATATCAATGTCTAATTTGGTCCTGCTTCAGATTCTTTATAACAACAACAATCTGCATTTATATAGTGCTTTTCACAATGGGAAACACCCTGGACAGTTGAGGGTTTGCACTTGAGTTGAGGATTAGATTCAAGAGGGGTGGAAGCCAAGGAGGGTAGAGGTGGGAAGATGACCAAAGATGTGGTCTAAGAGGAAAATCTTCAGATAGACCTTAAAGGAGGTGAGGGAAAGGGCAAGGTGAAGAGACTCTGGGATGGAGTTCCAGAGAATGGGGGCAGAAGGGCTAAAAGCAGACCACTGTAGGTGGGAACGGGCAGGGTGGGGTTGTGAAGCAGGCTGGTGCCTTCAGAGCTGAGGGTAAGGGCGGGATGGTAAAGTTTCAGAAGATCACAGAAATAAGGTGGAGCAAGGCCATGGAGGGCTTAAAAATGAGGACAAGGATCTTAAACACGATCCTTTCGGGCATGGGCAGCTAGTGCAGCCAGGAGAGGATGCGGGCAATAGGCTCACAGAGCTTGGTGCAGGAGAGGACACAAGTGCAGAGTTTTGAATAGTCTACAGCTTGTGTAGGGAAGAGTTGGGAAGACTGGCAAGCAGAGTTAACATAGTCAAACCTGGAGGTGCTAAATGTAGATTAATAATAATATAAGTACATTATTATATTATTCACCCATGTTTTGCTCACAAAATACAGTATATTCTGTGAAGCACTTTGAGACGTCTAAACGAAGTAATAAGGCGCTATATCAAATTCAAAGATATTATATTAAACATAAATTTTATTATTAAAATTATATTAATAGTATAGTAAAATAATAAGATTGGGTTTTGCTTTTGTTGCTGTACTATTTATTTACTGCTGAATTCAGTGTCTGCAGAGCCATGGCCCCCTTCCAAGAATAATGGGATCTACTACATGCCAATCAACAACAACTTGCATTTATATCATGCCCCTCACGCAGGGTAGCGTCCCAGAGCGCATGGCAGTGGCAGAGTATGACACTGTGCCGTGGGAGGGTGAAGTGACAGTAAGCACGGTCGAATCACTAACATTTGGAAATCCCATTGTCAGCAAGTAGCAAAAGATTACTCTTTGTGGAGATTGACATGTACCAGACCTCATTGCTTGTTACATTACCTTTGATGTACCACAAGTGTCCATTGTAAACCTTTAATTCAATTGGGAAGATAAGAGCATTAAAAGCCATTGACCACAAAGGAGAACGTAGCAGGGGTTTATAAGTAGTTTCTGCTTAATCAACTTTCTATTCAAATGCAAAGCACAACACAATTCTTCACTAATGCTCAGACCTGAAAAACTTACTCATGTGTACATTTGACACATTCCCTTCCCGTTTGCAAAACCACTTCCATTATTTTGCAAATTGGAGGGGAAATATATGCCTACAAGGCCACTCCCGGTCCACATGTCTCTTGCACAATTTATCTGTAGAGTGTTTATAATGGTGTTTTCAGTTCTTCACAAAGTGAGACGGAGTTGGCGAATAGTGATTTTGTGCTAAACATGCAAAAACGAACACTATCTTCAGTTCCATTTAATTTCAGTTAAAAGAGCTTGGTTGAAGGTATACACTCCCTACCCTATTTCAAAGGATACCTGCATTGCTTGGCATGGTACTAAACACTGGAAAGCTGCTAGAGTTTATTCTTGGAATGATTGATCCCAACCTAGGCAGTGGGAACTGGCCTCAGCACTCCTTTGTCTAGGAAAGGGAAATGTTAGCCACTGATTCCTTGTCTGGAGTTAAAATATCCAGACAGATGTTATGATCTGGAATTCACATTGCTCTTTGTCCTTTCTGTCAACAAGTAATTATTATGAAAATAAAATTATGAAAAGATTACCATCACCAGTGCCAAGCCTGATACCACCCAGGAACACATTGCTGGAGAGGGATTCTTTGTCCCAAACGGTCAGCTCCAAACAGACATTCTGCAAATCATTGGGGTATAATCCACTGTAGGTAAAGGTGTGGTTCCAATGAGGGTTTACACTCTTCTTAATGACAGGGGTTTTGTGTTTTGATGTTTTGCTATTATCAGGAAGTAGATATCTGAAATAAAAAAAAGTAACAAGTAGTAAGCATGCAGTAATCTTGGGGTTGAGACATTTTTCATCGATAATGTCAGATTTCCATTAGAGATGTGGATTTGGGTATTCTTCCACTGTTTTGATGAGGTCTTTGTGGGACGTTGCTGGGCGCAATTGGCTGCCACATTTCGCCCACAAAATATACAGTCACTACACTTTACAGCATATTCTGTGACGCGCTTTGAGACGTCTCGAAGACATGATAAGGCACTATATCAAATGCAAGGATTATTGTTATTATTAAGGTTTCTTAAGTGGTTCTCAGAATTCAGAAATGTACAAATGTTTATATGACCAAAGGGTAGCCCCACATCTCTAACATGTTTTGTGGATCTGACCATACTTGAAGCCAGTTCTCACCATTATGCCAGTGGTGACCCAAACCACAAGGAACCAGAGAAAACCTATGTGGCTTTAACTGGGGAAGCTATTAGGTAGACTGAGAGGACACGACTGCTAATATGTGAACTCGATGAGAATATTAAAACCAATTACCCACATTTCCAGAAAAAATCAACATTACAAATCCCAATTTTCACCCAGATATCTGTTATAGTGCATTTATCTTCATACTACTTCAATGTGAATTAAACTTCATGAAATAAAGTTGATGATGATGAAGTTTTCATTCCTTGACATAATACTATGTATAATTTGTTGTTGTTTGTATTATCTTTTAGACAATATATTTATATGATGCAGTAATATTTGACAGGACTGTATGCTAAAGTCATGAAGTTTTTAATGTGAAATGGATACCTTCCCTGGACCTGTAATTGTGGTTGAGATTATAATTAGAGATGTAAAATATGGTGGGCTGCAATCTTCTCGAATTGACTCTTTTGTAGCAACACTGTTGCTATGTAACAACAGATAGTATTCCCAAGTAGCACTCTCAGAAACATCTATATCAGCCCACTCTTGCTTATAAAAGCTTGTTAATTTTGTTGTCTCCTGTTAATGAACATCGTGCAATCCTTTCTTCCTATTGAGTGCAACAGTTTTGTTGTATATAGTAAATCTTTCTCAAATCAGAGGCCTGAAATTCCATCATACCTGTAAAACCATTCATCTGAAATTTTTTTCACAAATTAGTGGAAAATTCTTAAATTCAGCCTTAATTTGGAAGCTGATTTTCCAAAGTTATTCAAAAGAACTGGCTCTAAATTAAGCCTGATTTTAAGAATGGTCTACAATTCTATGCAATTTTAAATGTTAAGATAAAGTGTTCTTACAGCCTTAAGATGAAGTACCACTTCAGTTTGGAAAAAATACACAATAAACACAATGTTTTTTTTATGAGCATGCGAGAGGGCTAGGAGGGCCACTGGCCACACAGAGACTGACTGAATGAGACAGACAGACAGAATGTACAATAATTTTGCAATTTAGCTCCAAAACCAAATAATGCATGTCTTAAGTCAATAAAAATGTCTGTACATGATACCCATGTTCTCAAGTCCATTTCTTAGCTAATAAGACACTGACACAGATTGAATGACTTACCCTTTAACAAATGTATCTGAGGTTCCTCCTGCTTTTACTGCTGTTAAATTCTTTGCTTCCTTAATGAGTACCTCAAGTTGGCCACCAGAAGCCACCTGGGCAGAACTTTTCCTTCCTCTACTGAAATTCCTTTTAGCTGTGCAACATGGGAGAGTTTCAATGTTTTAAGATTACAGGTGACAGAATTAATATGAAACTAAGGAAAATATCTATTTTTAAAACACAATCATGAAACATTTGTGCTATGGTCGGCATATTTGTCTGGATTTTTTCCAACTTTCCTCTTCTCCGGAAGGTGCTGACTCCACAATTCCACGTGTACCAATTCCTTCCATTTATTAAGCCAAGTTGTGTTTCTTTAACGTTCCGAAAACCATTTCCTCAAGAAAGATTGACTGTTAGTACTGATAGTACTCATTCACCTCAGCACCATATACTACCAAGCTTTTTTCGGTGCAAGTATTTAACTCCTTCATTTGATAATTATTCAGTATCCAGTATTATTCAGTTACTTTGTTATGAGTAACAAATATGGGAGGGAAAATGGTAGGTGATCATTGCATACATCAATCCAATACCATTTGATGGAACTCATCATGCCCATTAAATCAAGATCAGTGTCTCACACGATGAAAGATAGACTTTCAGAGCATTCAAAGTGAGATTCTCATTGTAGAGATAAGACCATTGAACACCAAGTCAATGGTGAAGACATGAATATTGTACATATTTATAAATTTAGCAAAATAGATGCTTTGCTTAAACATCTTTTAATATGGATTTGTAATAATTTCCACTGTTCTACGTTGTTCTCACATCACTGAATTCTTCCCATTTAAAAATTCAGACTGATTTCTCAGATTGTATGTTAATGCTAAATTATGAATTTATCAGAACAGTAATGAGACTACAAAGAACATTTTATTCATTTGTTTATTCTTCCCTATGAAATAACTTCATTTGTGATGATTACCGGTTCCATCATTAAATCTGTCCTTAGTCACATTGCTACATGTTTACAAAAGCACTTCTCAGTTTAATCAACTCTTTAATATTTCACCTAGAAAACTGTAATATGTGTAAATTTACTCACATTTAGGATGATTTGTTTCAGCAGTCAGATGCTGGCCAGGTGAAGTATAACACAAAGAAACTGTCAGTTCTCCTTTATATTGTAGAACAGTATCAACAATAGGTTCGAACTAAGAACAAAGGAAATATTTCTGTAAGAATACGATTACAATTTTCTTAAATATGTTCATTTAGAATCATAGAATCACAGGCCTATAGCTGAGGCCTAACCAATATTTTATAAAGGCTCATCATAACTCGCTGACTTTTGTATTCTATGCCCCTATTTATAAAGCCTAGTGTCCCGTATGCTTTTTTAACAGCTATACCACCTGTCCTGCCACCTTCAAAGATTTACTTGTATGAAGCCCCAGGTCTCTCTGTTCCTTTACCCCCTTTAAGATTGTACCATCAGCTTATATTGTCTCTCCTCATTCTTCCTCCCAAAATGCATTACTTTGCATTTATCCACATTAAACTTCATCTGCCAAGTGTCTGTCCATTTTACCAGTCTGTCTATGTCCTCTTGCAGTCTGCTACCATCCTGCTCACTGCTTATTACTTTTCCTAGCTTAGTATCATTTGCAAACTTGGAAATTGTACTCCCTATATCCAAGTGCAGGTCATTTATCAAAAACAGTAGTGGTCCCAATGCTGAACCCTGGGGGACACCACTGCACACTGCCCTCCAGTCAGAAAAACAGAAAAACAATTGTTCACTGCCACTCTCTGGTTTGTGTCTCCCAGCCAGTTCTGTATCCATGCTGCCACTGTCCCTTTAATACTGTGGGCTTCTATTTTGCTTATAAGTTATAATAATCCCTGCAAAACAATAATAAATTGGTCATTTTCAATCCACGACTGTTTGTAGGACACTGCTGTGCACAATTTGCTGCTGCGTTTCGCCCACAAATGCATGGTCAATTCATTTTACAGTCTATTCTGTGAAGCGCTTTGAGATGTCGAGAAGACGTGAAAAGCACTATATCAAATGCAAGGATTATTATTATATTATTATAAGTCTCTTATGTGGCACTTTATCAACGCCTTTTAAAAATCCAAACTACATCAACTGCACTACCTTCATCGACCCTCTCCATTACTTCATCAAAAAACTATCAGGTTTGTTAGACATGATTTGCTTTTAACTAATCCAAGTTGGCTGTCCTTTATTAACCCATATTTTTCTAAGTGACAATTTTTTTTGTCCCGGTTTATAATCTCTAGAAGTTTCCCCACAACTGACATTAGACTGACTGGCCTGTAGTTCCTGGGTTTATCCTTCTGTCCATTTTTGTAAAGGGGAGTAACATTTGCAACCCTCCAGTCCTCTGGCACCACCCTGGTGTCCAAGGAGGATTGAAAGATTGTGGCCAGAGCCTTCGTTATTTCCAATCAATTACTTCCCTCAGTAACCTAGGATGCATCCCATCCGGACCAGGTGACTTATCTACCTTGAACACCAACAACCTTTCTAATACCTCCTCTTGGTTTATTCTTATCTTATCTAATTTCTCTACCCTCTCCGATATTGTGGCATTGGCTGCATCTTCTTCTTCTGTAAAGACAGATGCAAAGTACACATTCAGTCCATCAGCCATGCCCTCTGCATCCACAAGAAGATTTCCTCTTTGGTCCCTAAGTGGACCCACCCCACCTTTGACTAACCTTTTATTCTTTATATGCTTATAAAACACCTTAGGGTTCCCTTTCATGTTCCCCACTAATCTTTTCCCATACAATCTCTTTTCCGGTCTTATTTGCTTTTTCAGTTCTCCTCTGTACTTTCTATATTCTATTTGATTATCTTCTGAATTTTGGACCTGACATTTATCATAAACCTCCTTTTTTTGTTTTATTTTAATCCCAATTTCCTTATTCATCCAGGGAGGTTTGGATGCCCTACCTTTCCCCTTTCTGGGAATGTATTTGTTCTGTCCCCGAACTATCTCCTCCTTGAAGGCTCCCTGAGTGACCAAATTATCTTTATTTATTTTGAAGGAATTATTATCCCCGGAAAAGCGATCCGCAAATCGACTAATAGCTGGGTTCCTACTTACTGCTTGGTAAACAGAGGCGTGTGTGTGAAGTAAGGAAACTTGTCCAACGTTTTGCCCTGCTGGTAATCAAACTCAGGTCACACGCTTGTGAGGCAAGTGCTCTAACCGCTGAGCTCTAGGACTCCACAAAGTCACTTGTTCATTTTTGTCTCTCCAATATGACAAGGAAAACACACTTCACAATCATCATCTATGTTTTATTGTATGGATATGTTATTTTTTCAAATGTTGGTCTGGATTTCTGTAACAATGTATTCATTAAATTCACCTTTGGCTGCAATGGAATCCATTCCTCAACTTGATTTTCAAAATCCCAGGAATCAAATGGGATCTCCACTTCACCTAGGAAGCTGTTCCGTCCAAATCTATCATTGTGCCAGACTGAAAGCTGCAGAGTTCTCGTCTCAAGTTGTGTGTGACTGATAGTGTACTGCAAAAACAGTTGGGAAGTTGGTATAATGTACAGATAACAGGTGAGGCAGTCTGATCAGCTACTGCATCACTGAGAAATTTCCATTATTTAATAGCAGATAAAATTAATCAGCATAAAACAAATAGTTCATCTCATAAAATGATTCCTCTCATCGTTTTACTAAAATGTTGCTTTATAAACTATTTCTATCAACATTATGAGTTGTGGGGTCAAGCCCCACTTCTATCTACCAATTTCTAGTCTATCTGAAAGCATTATCCTGGGTTTACTTTCATTATCTTCTTAAGTACCTCAGATATACATTTCTATTTGCAACAAATAGGAACCTTTGAGCAGATATTGATGGGAATTAATCAAATAGTTTAACCACAAAATAAACATCAGATTAACAAACCCTTAATGTTTCATTGAAGATCGGATTTGTTGTGTTCGATTTCAGCTTAGTCTTGCGCTTACTTTGACGAGATTTGTCTGGGAGGAGGTATGCCTTCACATAACTGCAGGTCAAATGAAAATCGCAATCAGTTCTGACACATACTAAAACACCCATGTAATGGTACAATTAGGCACTATGAATGTCTAAAATAGTTACTGTCCATAGAGAAATAACCACCAGGACTTGAACCTCTGACACAACCATTTGAAATTTGCATCCTTCATATGTGTTTTTTGGTCAGCTGGGTGTCTGACACATGTAAGCTTAAGGGTATCCGAACCAAGTTGAGATTCCCATGCTTCCTACCTACACATTGAAATCCTAGATTGTTGGAATGGAATGTGCTCTCTCACCTTGGAGGAACCCATCCTGTTTACCTAATTCCAGAAACTATTAAGTGTGGGTTGGCAAGAGCCAAAGCTTATGGACCCCAAAGTGATGGAGTCTAACCAGCTAAAACTGCACAGCTTGCCATTGATATTGCTGTCCAGCAAGCTTTCCCGCTCCTTGTCCAGCTAGGACCACTCTCCATGTTAGGGCTTTGGCTTGCAGAGTTAACAGGAGCTGAGTGGGATGAATCTCTGCCCCCATTGACTGGTCTACCCTTCCAAGTCATGTCAATGAGCCAGGCTGGCTGGGCTGTCATCAGCAGTGCCCTGGAATAGAGCGGACATGCCTGGCTCAGGAACTGGACTACCGAGACCACCACAGAGGGTTGGTTTGATTACGACATTCCATTGCCAGGCATGCCACTTTGGAGCCAGTTCAGCTCCAAGGAATCCGAGCTTACCTTCCCCCAAGGAGGATAGAAGAATTCATATGGAAGACTAAACATTCTCTATAAAAAGGAAAAATGCTTACGGGTCAGTTCTCTGCTTCCTTTCATCTGCAATTGCTAGATTACGGCACTCTTTCACATTAATGTTTAGTGCCCCACTTTTGTAGTTATAGTTGACCACAAACAGAATTTCCCCACTGATATTCACATTGCCATAATCTCCTGTTTCACTGTACACACTCAGCATGCTATTTAAACTGGTCTGCAAAGAGAAACAAGCAGATGTTAATATGTAACAATATATTAATACTGACTATCTTATTACCTAATGATCATTTACATCAAGTTAGAGTATGCTCTAGCAGCATTATTATTCATCTAAAAATTGACAATGCTTCCAATTTCTGTTGTGTATTATGAAATGCATTCCCTAAATTCAGCTGTAAAAAAAAGCTAATTTATCTGAGTTAAGACAAAGAACCATGAACCAATTACTCACTGAAATGAAAAACAATACCAGTTGTCACACTTGACATGGGCTTTCACTTTCCCGCTGAAATGAACAGGGAAATATTCTTGCAAAATGTAGACTGCTAGTGACATTGTTAATTTTATTAACATATAAAGGCTATAGAATCATAGACTTCTATTTTCAGAACAGCTATATTGAGAGAAGATCCATTAACAGAAAAATCTATTGAGTTTTTAAAATATCATACACTCTACTTGAAAATGAAGAGATAAAAGAAATAGATGCACTTGTGATTAGTAAAACTGCTAAGCAAGGAAACTCACGGTTTCTGCATCATGATCAGGTACATTGAGGAATGTCCCCTTCTTGTCAGACCTTGATTGGTTGTTCTTTAAAGGGCATGCAATAATCAAGGAAGAATAGGAAGAGATTGCAGAGTGATAGTGAGAACAGTGCTGCAGTACAAGGAATTACAGAGGTGAAAAAGCATAGCCATGTAGGCAGCAACAAATTGAAGATCTAAGGCTGAGGTCTTAAATATGATAATTTCTAATAGTATACCATAATACAACAACTTGCATTTATATAGCACCATTCATGTAGGATAACATATTGGAAAGCTATCCAGTGGTTAGGTTGGTTGCTGAGCAAGGGAAGAGGAGAAGGGGAGGAGACCAAAGTAAAGGTTCTGTCGAGACGCTAGGTTTTTAGGTGAAATTTAAAGATAAATAAAGAGGCACTTAACAAAGATTTAGATTTGCAAATGTAGAATCCTTTTACAAATTGAGACTGTTAAAAAGCCTTCAAAAACCCACTACAAAGAAAGTTAGAGGTGACATTCATATATGTCAACTAGAATTTCCACATAGTACAGAGAATAAAGAGACAGTTTCTGATGAAAGTCTTTTTTTTGGAATACAGCAAACTCCTGGTTTACCAGATTCTGGGAATCCAGAATTCGTACCTAGCCGGAATAGGCCCAAAAGAAAAATGTTTTAAAAAGTGTGCCCGCCCACCTCACTGTGCTTGTTGGTCTTCAGTGACCAGGGAGATCGACTTAGACTCAGTTTCAATCCCACGAACAGAAAGCTCATTCGATATATTCTGCCTCCTGTATTCAAACAATTACAATGCCACTACTGGGATTTACTGGCATTTTTTGGCACTGAAAAAAATCGGAGCCAGGAAAGCCAGTAAATGCCGGTACCAGCATTGTAATTGCATTTAGCTGGAAATTCCGGCTCACCAGACAGGATCTTTCCCCTCTCTCCTCTCAACTGGTCCGGCTAGCCAGGATTTTAGTGTATATGGAACAATTGTCATTTTTGTTTGGTCAGCCGGGTGTTTGACACACGTGGCAACTCATCGCCATACTTAAGAGTATCCAACGCAAACTAAGAATTCCATGCATCCATGGAAATTCCAGAGATAGATTAGCAGAATGGAATCTGTACTCTCTTCCTGGAGGGAAGCATCCTGCTTATCTTAATCTGGAAAGCATTAGGCGCAGGTTGGTCAATAGGGTACTGCTGAGGTCTAACTAGCTAAAGCCGCAAAGTTGCCATTGATAGCACAGTTTGGTAAGCTTTACCACTGCTTGTCCAGCTAGGATCACCTTAACTGTTATGGCTTTGGCTTGCAAGTTAACAGGAGCTATGTGGGATGATTTCCTGCCCCCAGTGACTGGTCTGCCCTCCTAGACTTGCCAATGAACCAGGCTAATACTAATCTTTGGTATGTTGGGTACTCCTGAATTTGCTGTATGGACATTCTACTATACATCTTGCTGGAGACACTTTTGTAAGACAAGGTACATTTTTGTTTCTTAAAATAAATCTTCAGAAAACTGTTTTCAAATTAAGCCTGTCGTTCCAAATTCTGTACGCTCTGAAATGCTGTTTTAACAATGTAAATCTAGATGCAGATGGAATTTCTACCCATCAGTATGTTAAAAGATTAACATTGTTGCCCATCATGATCTAAAGGCATTTTGTGTGCTATAAACTCCTATTATTAGTAGTTTCAAGCATGCAGAAGAAGTTTGAGGTTGATTTTCCCAACTGGCTGCTACCTAAACAGCAAAAGGGGGAAAAGACTGGGAGAAAAGTTGTCTGATATTCAGCTCCTGGCTCTCACAGCTGTTACTTGGATAGCAACCAATTGGGAAAAATCGAGATCAAACCTACCACGGAATCATTATTGCCCATTATGGTCTTAAAGGCATGTTATGTGCTACAAATTCCCAGTAAAACAGATTCTTAATTACTATTCATCCCAGACAACATTTACAAACTTACAGTTGATAATCCAGTTGTTATGCTGCTTATTATACTGTTTGGTCGATATATAGAGACCAAATCATCAATGTCCTCCTCTTCCTCCTCCTCCATGTAATCCTACACAATAAAATGATTTGGTTTAATATTATATAACAATTAAAATCCTTGCATTTGATTTAGCCTTTTATTATAACTTACTAACTCACCATGTACTGTGATTTAATTATCACATCAACACTGCATTTTTACCCCTAAATGTAAATGATATAAAGGTTCTGCTCTGACAACGTACTTATCTCCGATTAACTGAATGATACACTTCAATAGCAGTTATCATGAACTTCTTTTGTCACCGATAATAATTGTACCTGGCTGACTGTAGGCTAAAGTGTACAGTCTTCAGATGCCAAAATAAGTAAATGTCAGGGTCCAAACCCCAAACACGCAATAAGCAAATTTTGTTCTAAAAAAGCGCTATATATATATATAAACGCTATATATAAGAGCTCCACTCTCTGTTGGCTGTGTTTGCTTATTAAAGAGCTTTAGTTAACAACATATGACCCTGTCATTTAATTCATTCTATAATAAGTGCCTTCTTATGGCTGACACACAAGAGAATTTTGAAATACTTTACAAATTAACAAGTGTTGTTTTCAACCAACCTTAGCTTCATTAAGGCCTCCGGGCACAGAACTGAGGCTTATGGAATCATCATCCCCTTGTATAGCAGATCCACTCAGGTCTAACTCAGACCTACTGCGATCTGCAGGGTAGAAAAAAATAAGATTAATTGTGGGTCTGGTTAATTGGATAGAAGAGTCTTAAGGTCAATTAAACTGTTCTGATTAAAAGCACAGACTGGTGCAGCACAAATCCATACAGGCCAGAATCTCACAGGTTCAAATACAGTTAGTAAAAATTAGATCCAACTGAGGATTTTATAATGGGCTCGAGTGTCTCTTGCCTACAAGTGAGAAAAAAGTCAGCTTGTGCTTCCACTTCTGACTGTGCTTTTTGAACTGAAACAAGAGTCTGTACCTTCAAGATAGGAGGAGGGGAGAAAATTGGCAACAAAAATGAAATGTTATGATATTATGCTACACATTGCCACTGTTCTGAATAAGCATCACACACTGATGAAATCACCATGACAACATCACACTGATATTGTCTGTTTCAAGGCTTCTTTTTTTACTGAATGTATTGTGTTTGATTACCACTTCAAATGATTAGCGTAGATGTCAGACAAATTTAAAGGGGCATTAATGTCCAGGGAAATGAGGAAGGGAGAATTTATTGGATAACCCTGAAACAACCAACGACAGCTTGTGCCACAAAATGATTGTGATCTATCACTACACATTAGCACGTCCATAGCCTCCTGATAGACTGCTTTATCTCCATCAGCGTGAATTAGTTTCTCAAATAGTTTTAGTGGCAAACGCATAACTGAGTTACTATTTTATTTTAAATTGAAAACACAGCCTAATGTATGTAATTAATGACATGAAAATATTACTATATAATGTTGTTCTTATATAAATGTAGTGTCTCCATTTATATTCTCTATTCTCACCATTGGCCTCCCTGCTCCTATATGACCTCTTCTTGCTGGGATGCGGTTCTATGGATGCGGATTCCTCTGCTGCCCATGTGGCCATTTTCTATGTGTGAGCTTTGGCAGTGAGTGATGAAAGGCCACTTGACTGTAATGGCAGCCAGGCCTAACCTCTCTCCACCCAGTTGCCACACATGCACATAGCAGTAGAGAGTGCTCTAAAGCATCAGGAAGCAGAAACCCTGGCTGGTTTCCCCTCCCTCTACCTGGAAAGGCCGGGGTCAATTTTGCCTCCCACCCAGCAAAAAAAAGATGTTTAGGATTGTGAAGAGAACATTTTAGCCCTGGCACCAAGAAGCAATTCTTTACACAAAAGACAATTAACAGCAGGAAGCGGTTAGCTATAAAAGAAATAAAGGCATTCTTGAAGACTGAGATAAAATGGGTCAAAAGGCACCTTGACAACCAGCAGGAGGCAATTTAATCATCAGTAGTAATTGGGCTGGTGAATATCAGCAGTTTCATAAACCAGTCAGAATTATATTCTGTCTATATATATATATATAATATATATAATATATAGAGAGAGAGAGAGAGAGACTATATAGGCTTTGAAGGCGATATATATATGTAATATATATCACCTTCAAAGCCCTCCACAGCTTTGCTCCTCTCTACATCTGTGACCTGCTAACTCCATATCAACCTGTCCGCTTCCTCTGCTCAGTGAGTCTGCTCCATGTTCCCCGCCCGTACCGTCCCACCATAGGCAGTTGAGCATTCAGCCTCTCTGGCCCCATCCTTTGGAACTCCATCTCACAGTCCCTTCACCTCGCTCTCTCCCTTGCCTCCTTCAAGACCTGACTCAAGACCTTCCTTTTCAACTGGCCCTTTGGTCACCCTCCTACTCCTACCCTCTCTGCCCTCCCCCCCTCCTGATCCCAACCTCCTGCTCAGGTCCAAATCCCTGACTGTCCAGTGCATCGTCCTGGTGTGAAAGGCGCTATACAAATGTAATTTGTTGTTATTATATATCAGGATAGTTTGTCCCTTCCTTTCTCTCCACTTACTCAGCTTTGAAGACTTCCATTTTAATAATGTGCAATAACTCAGCTAAGAACCAGGAAAATAAAACACTGAACATTTTGAGACATGGGCAAAAAAGCAAGTACATACCTGATGAAATTGAGTATTTTGAAATGGCTATTGTAGGTGTATTGTGTTTTCCTCTGGACAGATCTTCAGATACACTATTACTCATTTGCAGAGTGTCAATGCTGTCTGAAGATGCTGCCTACCAATATAAACACAAAATGTCAACATTTTAAACACTGTAGGAAATTGTTTAAATTTAAAGAAATGTTCTTGCTTCATTTGGTTTTCTTTTGTTAATTTGTTTTTTTAAATATGTATCAGTGCACTTTTAAACAAGGATATTCTTGAAACCAAAGGATTTTCTGAAGATCAAAGGAGATTCTTAATACATAGAGAGATGTTTGGAACATGTACTCTCAAAAACACAGGCTGATTCCATGCTGATTCCTCCTGGCAAGAGCTTACCATTCAGTTTTGGTGCTCGAAAGAAACATTTCATTATTTAAATAATACAAAGAGCTAGAGTTAATAAGAGCTAAAAAAAATTGTTTTAAAAAGAGCTAAAAAAATACAGTATTAATTGTTAAAGAAAAGTATTAGGAGTTATGTATAACCTTCCTTATTGAAGAGTATTGTCCTGATGTGATCTGTTATCAAATTTTCACAAGTCAGTGTGATATATTTCTAAATACCATTAGGAGCAGCAATCATGAATATTGCACTTAAGACCTTAATATCTGTCGGCAGGTATTAATTATGTATTCACTATAGATTTTTTTAAAAAAGAGACAAGCTAATACTCGGCATACAAAGTGGTGCCCTCAGCCTTTCCTTTAAGTTGCTCACCCTTCTCATCTTATGTCCTTAGATTTTACTCACCTGTACTTTTGCTTTTATTAATTAGATTTAATCCACTGTTTAATGAAAACAAGTACTGATGAGTGTATGGACTCGTGCATCACAAAAAACAAAAAACATTTTGCAATCTAACCTTTTTCACTTCAAATGGAGCCTGAGACAGACAAACTATTATGATTAATCCTTGTGAAGCAACTGCATTTCCTGCAATTCATGTACTGAACGTGTCACTCAATTAGACACAGTGGTGGTGAAAATCACAACATATTATGTGTAAAAGTAACATTTAATACTCATTCACAATAAGGTGTATGTAAATTAGAACATAGAATTAATCTGTCTGATATTTTACTGCATTCCGAAATAATCACAAACAAACAAACCGATTTACATTTATATAGTGCCTTTCATGTCAGGAATGACATCCCAAGGTGCTGTGTACATTTGAACATTGCAGCTTACCTTCATATAATCTGATGTAATGCTGCGTTTGCTCAGTGAGGGTGAAGTCTGTGCAACTGGGGTAGTAGTCCTGCTCCGGTTAATATATGGTAAAGAGGACCTGAGACCATCAGGAGTTACTTGCGTTGCATTGGTCTCCACTCCAAATGAATTTCCCCTGTGTTATTCAATACTACATGTCTGAATTCAATATTTTCTCAGGCCCAAATTTAAACTTGTTATACAATACAATATAAATTTACTTTTATAAAATGCATTTCACGACACAAGGATGACCCAAGGTGCTTATCAATCTTGGCTTGACACCCGAGCTGGAGTTGGAAGTTGAGATATATTTTATATAAAAGAAAAAAATTGACAAAACTATCACATTTTTAGACTAGAGTAATATAGTGGATCACAACGGGATCCAGACATGCATATCCAAATAGGCAACCTTTTGAACAATTCACCAACATATTACATAGGAGTTATTCATCTAACCTTTGCTGCAACATCTATATCTTAAAGAGTATTATAATAAAAAGGAATTGATCATTATTACTGTACAATCCACAAGTTATATTCAAGATGTACACATCGAGCACATAAACTACCATTTATGCTCTCAGTTCTACATCTCAGAGCAGCTTGTTTGAGTTGTCTTTGTTGAAAATAAACTTCTCAGGCTTTCAAAAAAACACTGTTAATCAATAGTGTGTGTTGTAAACAAGATACATAAAATAGCTCCAGCAGTATCTGGGTAGTTAAGATTTTTATTCTTTTTAGAACATACGCTTTTTAGTTTTTTTCTTAAAGTTTAGCATCATCCACATCAAAATTGTTTTCTTTTCCTTTTTAAAAAGTAGGTGTGAGGGCCTAATTTAAATCAACTCTGGAAAAGGTTTATGAATCCTTCGTGCTCAACAGTTTTTGGATCAGTCACATGCAGAAATAAAACAATGCAACACTGATCTCTATGGATTATTTATAATACTCAAGTCTATTTCCAAATATGTTTACTGTCCCATTTATTATGTCATACAACTTTTTACATTTGGTTAGCGGGGGTGTTCACCATCCTAAAAATTTCATAAGATGTTAAACGCTTAAAGCTCTTCCAGCTACTGATTCACAGTGAATCATGATGCTAATAGGATTTTTGTTTAGCACTATCACTCAACTGTAATTCCTGTGGGTATTAATGATATTTGGGCAACAACTATATAGTAAATGCACAGGGCCACTGGCCAAGCAAAATGGCCATTTTCTGCTTTTATTATAACAAAGCTGCTGGGTTATATCATGAAATGAAAACACATTCTCAATAATTGTTTTCAACAATTCATTTAGATGAAAATGAGCCCTTCTATATAAATCCTACTTCTACAATGTACCAGGGAAACAAAAACTTTACCTAAAAGATGCAAAAAGACCTAATTTATAATACTAAGAATCCTTGCATTTGATATAGTGCCTTATCACGTCATTGAGATGCCTCAGAACACTTCACGGAAGATAGTGTAAAGTGAATTTATTGTGTATTATTGTGGGCAGAACATGGCAGCCAATTGCGCACAGCAGTGCCCCACAAACGGTTGTGGATTGAGTGACCAATTTAATATTATTTCCTTTTTTTNGAAGGGATTATTACCCATGGAAAGCGATCTGCCAATTGAGTGACAACTTGGTTCCTACTTACTGCTAGGTAAGCAGAGGCGTGTTGAGTAAGGAAACTTGCCTAAGGTTTCACCTCGCCCGGGAACTGAACCCGGGTCCTCTTGCCTGCGAGGCGAGTGTGCAACAGACCTCCACAAAGCAAGGGATTGAACTTTTCATGGAGGATATGCTGAGGAAGTAGACAACTAAACATGATAAAGCCCTGAGAGAACAAGGTTGCTGAGCTGCTGAATTCAATCCCTCACAATAAAAGAACTTGCCCGCATTCTAGTAAAAGCTTCAGTGATGTCTAGAAGACTGCTAAGGAAAATATTACATTCAACTTGAGCTTGAGTATAAGTTGATGCTTCAGGGCAGTACTAGGGAATACTGAATTGGTAGATGAGACATTAAGATGATGACTTGCCTGCCTGTCCTCAGGTGGATATTAAAGATCAATTGACACTGATGAAAAAGAGTTTCTCTTGAATTTATATTTCCCACTCAACACTGCATGAAATCTGGACTGAATATTACCAAAATAGAATATTGTCATTCTCTGCATGAGTACCTTATTGGGTGAACAGAAAATCAAATAAGGCTGTTAGTTTTCCAATATTATTAAAGACCTGGCAGCGCTAACCAACTCCTCCAGGGTCCAGTAGGATTTGACGTGTATCTGCCCCCATTTATACTGTCCATTTGATGGAGCATCAATTAGTTGCCAAAAGTGGTACAACATAAAAAGAATAAAGGCTTTTTCCAGCTGCTTCTTTTTATGTCCTCTTTCATCTGCTGCCAAAGTAATCCCCTTACAGGAATCAATGTGCCAAAAGAGTCTTTGGAGTTTGACATATCCTGATCGTTTAAAATAGTGATCTTCATATTGTATTTTCATAATGAAATTTCCATTATGAAACTGCTTTAAATGATTTCTGTTTGATAGACCAGAGTATATGCATCATACTTTAATCATACTTCAACTCTGAATTATATTGCATCTGGATCTAACGTTGAAAATGCAAATGTTATTTTTGTTGGGCTCAACCATAACCATCATTATAGGGTAGTTTAGCCGTTGTGCATTGATGCGTAATTGCTGTTTATAATTAGCTGTGGAAAACAGCCTCCAGTGGGTTCAGAGTCGTGCTACATCGCTGAATGGATATCGTCAGGGTGACTGAATTCCTTCCAATGGAGGTCTATTGTGAGGCTATTCTTTCTGTATCCCATTTAATCTGAAGTAACAAAAAACACTTTCCTATTTGAAAACTCATTCTAACTCTCTCCCGTTTGCTGTGTGCCTCGTCTATTCTTCTTCTCCTCCAGCGCATTGGGACATCCTCCCGACGTGAAAGGCACTGTGCAAATGTAATTTTGTTGTTGATCTGTCTTTCTTTCTGCCTTGTGTCTCTTTAGCTATTTCCTCTTATTTATCCTTTGTTCTTTTCCTATTACTTCATTAATTCACCTTTTCTATGCTTATGACTTTTCTTTCTGTCTCACTTTTTATTATTTTGTTAATTATTTTATGTACCTTTATTTCCTTATAACTATGGTTTTTGTTTCTTTATTTTGCAGGAGAATGTCACAAACTGAGTGTGGATCAGTTCAGCCCGGGCACCTGTGCGGACACTATTAATGCTACAGGACTGAGTACCTTCTGACAGAGAACTCACAGTTCTGGTCTAATTCTGAGGTGGTTGTAATTATGAAGACTGAATTGGTCAGCATTTTTTCCACTGAATTTTGATTCAGAAGATTATTTCATGTATAATGACAGCAGAAGATTTTCAAGAGATTTTTGCTTTTTGGCGTGCAATAATTTGAATTGGATTGTATAAAATTAGAACTGTGAATTTTCCACAAAGGCCAAAATGTGGATGATAGAAATAGAGGGAGTAGTGGGCAGAGATGCCAAGACTCAGCAATACAGAGGAAGGAAAGATTATGTGAAATGTAAGTTGAAGGGGCAGGAATGGCTAAGCATTCAAATTGAGCCTAGGGACATAATGTATTATTTCTATTGTTAGCTTTACAATATTAATGAATGCAAGCCACAATCAATCATAACAATGCCTCCCACTCTGCTGTATCTATTAGGTAACCTGGAAAGGTGAGATCAAGCCTCAAACTCTGTTGCATTAACAGCTCAAGTTGAGGGTATACTTCATTCAGAGACCAAATTAGTACATATTAATAATATTATTTATTATAAGTTAATACATAACACAAAATAGTAACTACTCTGATAGTTTTAAGCCCACTCAAGTCTTTTCTCTTTCTTTGAAATGAATCTCAGTCTGACAAGTCACAGAAGACGAGCTCAAGGCTACAATTTCTAATTTGCAGCAATACAATTACCTTTTTTTTCCAAATTGCTTTTAAAAAAGTCTTGTTTCAGATTTCGACTGAGCAAACAATTTGCACTGTTCACTGAATAAAAGTGTTTAAAGGATTGATTCGGGAATGACTAATTGTAGTATCTGCAGCTAAAAAGCAACAAGTCTTTCCTCTGAGCTGGATGGGAAAATTATTATAGTTCTGCATCAGAATACTCCTGCAGTGATGTGCTACTTCATGCAATTTAATAACTTATCAGAGACATTACAATTTGAACTCGTGCTCTCTCAAATCAAGATCATTATAATTATTGTTATAATATAATTAGTCTAGCTGGGCTGTGATGATTCTTACCATGAAGTAGATTGCCAACATGAACTGCAAAGCGACTACATGAAAAATTGCCACTTAAAAGAGTGTTCCCTGTAACATTGTATCTCACGAATCAATGCCTACTTATGCTCATAAATGATTGTACCATGTGCCTTCTGCAGATCAATCTTGGTTTAAATCACACCTCCAAAATTCTGGTATCATAATATGTGCTAGCATTTCCAGATAGGTACTTTGATGCTGGTCTCCATACTGGTCCATAGCATGGGCTTCCATACAAATGTATGGAGCTGTGGGTGTGGCACCATTAATATATATCACTAGAGACTTGTAAGCAAAATAGAAGCTCACGGTATTTAAAGGGACAGTTGCAGTATGAATACAGAACTGGCTGGGAGACACAAAGCAGAGAGTGATGGTGAATGGTTGTTTTTCTGAAGGGAGGGAAGTGTGAGGTGGTGTCCCCCAGGGGTCAGTATTGGGACCACTGCTGTTTTTGATCTATATAAATGACCAGGACTTGGATATAGGGAGCACAATTTCCAAGTTTGCAGATGATACTAAGCTAGGGGAAAGTAGTAAACAGTGAGGATGATAGTAGCAGACTGCACATGGGCATAGACAGACTGGTAACATGGGCAGACACGTGGCAGATGAAATTTAATGTGGAGAAATATGAAGTGATGCATTTTGGAAGGAAGAATGAGGAGAGGCAATATAAGATGATGGTACAATCGTAAAGGGGGTGAAGGAACAGAGAGTCCTGGGGGTTCATATAAGTAAATCTTTGAAGGTGGCAGGACAGGTAGATAAAAAATGCTAAAAAAGCATACGGGATACTAGGCTTTATAAATAGGGGCATAGAATACAAAAGTCAGGAAGTTATGATGAACCTTTATAAAACACTGGTTAGGGCTCAGCTACAGTACTGTGTTCAGTTCTGGGCACCACAATTTAGGAAGGATGTCAAGGCATTGGAGAGGGTGCAAAGGAGATTTACCAGGATGGTACCAGGATTGAGGACTTCATTTATCAGGAGAGGCTGGAGAAGCTAAGATGATTCTCCTTGGAGCAGAGAAGGTTAAGAGAAGACTTAACAGAAGTTTTCAAATTGTGAGGGGATTCGATAGGGTGAACAAGGAGAAATTATTTCCACTGGAGGGTGGGTCGGTAACTCGAGGGCACCGATTTAAAATAGTTGTTAAAAGAAGCAGAAGGGAGGTGAGAATAAATTTTTTCACACAGCCAGTTATTTGGATCTGGACTCCATTGCCTGAAAGGGTGGTGGAAGCCGATTCGATAACAACTTTTAAGAGAGAAGTAGATAATTATTGGGGGAGGACAAGTTTGTAGGGCTATGGGGAGAGAGCGGGGGAGTGGGATTGAATTGGATAGCTCTTTTCAAAGAGCCAGCACAGACACGATAGGCTGAATGGCCTTCTTCTGTGCTATATAATTCTATGATTCTATGATAAGAGTGGCCCAGGATGGGAGTAAAGAAATTATAGGCTTCTGTGGCAGGCAAACTATGTTATTAACCATTATTCTACCAACTAAAAAATGTAATCAGTTTTTTTCATGATTACTGGGGGATAATGTTTTTGTAAATAATTTGGCCTTTAATTTTCCTTCCCTTTAATGACATATTTCACAAGCCTTCTCATCAGTTTGTTAGTGTCCTGTTTTTGCAAAGCATTTAATCTCTTCCAGCCTAATCACATCATTGAGATGTCGCAAAGCACTTCACAGGATATATCATAAAGTATATTCTGTAGGTGACACGCGGGAACAATAAGCAGCCAATTGCGCACTAAAGTGTCCCACAAACAGTCGTGGATTGAGCTCCCAATTAAAAAAAAATGTTTTGAAGGGATTATTACCCCCAGAAGAGAAATTCGCCAATTGACTAACAACTATTTTCTGCGAGGTAAATGTTTTGTTGTGCTCGGGAATAGAACTCGGTTCTCTCACTTGTGAGGTGAGTGCTCTAGCCAATAATAATAATAATAATCCTTGCATTTGAAATGCTCTGGGGAAGCAAACTACTGTATAGCATATTCACTGACTTCATAGCTCAATGGCAAGGAAGAAGAAAACTCAAATTGAGTTCTTTGGTATGATGGAATCTAAAATGTTGGTGTTTGCATTTCATCAAATCATTAATCAGTTGTCCTCTGATATATGTTAGTACAGCAAAGAAGCTTTCTATTTCTTTCTAAATCAGTTCCTTTATCTAAACAGGAAGCGAAAGCACAGAGGCAGCAAACTCCTAATCTTATTCAAAAAGGATATTGTTAAAAATCATTGAATGCTATATTCAATAATCACTGGGACCCATCTCCTCCCACATGGGAGCAGCCAGTTCATTCCCACATGGGAGCAGCCAGTTTATTCTGTCCTGAAAAATGATCCGGAACTGTCCAACACTGCAAAAACCAGTTGGTTACTGCTAGCCAGATCTGTGTTTTCCTAAGCAGCTTCTGGCTGCTATAAAGCAAATGACTCCTTGGTAATAAAGATACTTGGGGCATAAAATGGCTCCAAGTCACCACAGGAGAACCTGCGAGGCTTGGCCAGCTGTCTGCATAACATCAGGATTTTGTAATGGCAAGAAATCGTTTTCCAATGAAGTTAGGGGAGCACTCTGAAGGGAGACTCTCCTTCCATTTGAAACAAAAGAAGATATGGAACAGCACTGTTTTAATGTTACAATTTAATAGCTCACAGGGTGATTTAATTCTTGAAAGAATACGACAATGTCAATGGCCCTCTCAGCTTAATTTAATGACAAAGTCAATTGGCCACATATATTAATTTGTATGAATAATATTCTATACATGAACACTCTAATACAGATGGACCACCATAAGATTCCTTTACTATAATACAGCAACTTGATCTTTGATCGATTATACTATCAAATCTCAATTGTTAAGAATAGCAATCTGTCATTAATTTTGTATGTGTCTAATGAATTACCTGCCAGACCAAGGTACAGAATGCATGCTGTCCATTTCAAAGTCTGAGCCTGCATAAGATGAGTTTCTTCCATCCTCAGACTTTGTGTCTAGTCCTTTCTCGTTCTGTAATTTCAATTTGGATTTGCCATGTTTTCTTTCAGGAAAGAAGATGCCATATAACAGAAGAAAATACAATGACCATTACCAACCAGATTTTTAATTCTTCCTTGTTAGTTTTTAAATGCATTTTTATACCTTCCTAAACCTGCTTATTACCGGAACTGAGCAAAATCTCATGAGATTCAGAAGCAAAAACAATAACCCATAAAGAAAAGATGGAAACCCCTTCTACCAATTTTTCTGCGATTGGTGACCATTACAAATATTGCTGATGTTTCATGCAGAAACATTGAAATTGTTCTTAAAGAGTTAAGATTAGTTTGGCTTTTAGAAAAATTATTATTATTGTCAATGTTTTTTCATTGCACAGCAGCATACCAATGAACCAATGTTTGGGTGAGGTTACTTGATCCCATGCATGAAAAAATAAGCTGTGCGGTTTTGCCAGAAGCTGTTTTCCAGCAGAGTAAGAAATTAATACTCACAAGGAGAAAAAAAAATCCCAAACTAGTGTGACAGGATAAAAAAAAATCCGAAAATTACTGGTGAGCTAACAGTGATCAGAGATTGCAACAGTGGCAACCACAATATCAGAAAGGCTCAACAACTACAAGTGGATTCCTGTAGCTCAGTGGTTAGAGCACTCGCTTTGCAAGCGAGAGACCCGAGTTCAATTCCAGGCAGGGCGAAACCTTGGGCAAGTTTGCTTACTCCACACGCCTAATAATAATCCCTCCAAAAACAAAAACAATAATAAAAATTGGTCATTTTCAATCTACGACTGTTTGTGGGACATTGCTGTGCGCAATTGGCTGCCGCGTTCGCCCACAAATATATAGTCAATTCACTTTACAGTGTGTTCTGTGAAGCGCTTTGGGACGTCCTCCTGACGTGAAAAGCGCTATATCAAATGCAAGGATTATTATTATTATTATTAAGTGAAATTGGGCTACATTAGCACAGAAGGGCTGCTAAACTTTGGGTGTAGCACAAAGGATTTTCACACTGTTTTTTCCTATAATAATAATAATATCATATCTGTCACCAGGGTTTGAATCTAGCCTGCATTATTTAAAAATATTAGAAATCTTGTTCACATTATAATGCCACAAGTATAAATAGTGTAGAAAGCAGAAATGTGACACAGATACAATAGGTGTTCTCTTGTGATGTTGGCGTTAAGGTAATTATTGGGACATAATAGAGAAAGGTTCCAATGTACCCTGAGTTCAAATTTGCAGTTCATTGAATATTAATTAAATAGGGTGGTGATGGTTGAGGGGCGGGAGTGAGTCAAACCTTTGATGTTCTCACCAGTGAAATAAAAGCCAGTCCCATAGTGTCGGACTTCCGACTCACAGATCGTGGCTTTCAAGTGCTAGTTAGTGGAACACCAGCTAATTTATATGACAATCATTGACGAGACTCACATATGAATAAGAAAGGCTGAGTGCAGTATTTTTCCCAAAGAGTCATTAGGAAGCTTCACATTTTCAAATTTTATTCAGTAACAATAACTGTTGGGGGGGGTGGGGGAGAGTAAATGGTATCTTCACCTTTATAAAAACTCTGGCACTTCTTCCAAACGAAGATTAATAATAATCCTTGCATTTGATATAGCACCTTGTCATGTCTTCTAGACGTCTCAAAGCGCTTCACAGAATATACTGTAAAGTAAATTGACTGTACATTTGTGGACGAAACGCAGCACCCAATTGTGCATAGCAGTGTCCCACAAACTGTGATTGAGTAACCAAACTATTTTTTTGGGGGGGATTATTTTCCCCAGAAAAGCGATCCACCAATCGACTAACAACTGGGTTCCTACTTACTGCTAGGTAAACAGAGGTGTGTGGAGTAAGGAAACTTGCCCAACATTTCGCCCTGCCGGGAATCTAACCCAGGTCACTTGCTTGAGAGGCGAGTTCTGCAACCATTGAACTACAGGACCCCACAATTAAATTATGATACTTCCACCTACTGTTGTAAGATTTTGATGGTTTCTGTTTGTTTGTATTTATTCATGCTAATGTTCGTCTCACAAGGGTTCTATGGGCAGGGAGCAAGAATATGTCTGTGGGCAGTCATATCAGCTACGGAGCAATATCAAAGATCTGGGGGATTCATTTGCAGTATTTCTTAGTATAATCCATTATTAAGGAATCCTGTTAGAGTTTTCATCTTTCCAAGGGAACTCACTCCAGAAGTAAATTATGTTGGAGTTCCCACAAGTTCTTGTGATCTACTTCTGGTTACTGGAAAATGCCATTTGCACGACTCATATTCCTTATTAAGATAAACTGTCAAAAATATCAAAATTAGACCTCAAGAGATGCAGAGACTATCAGTGTAAGAATATGTGAGATTCGGTGACTGAAAATAATTAATAACGGCCACTTTGATTTCAAGATCCTCATCCTCACCTACAAGGCCATTCACGGCCTTGCTCCCTCCTACCTCTCCAACCTACTATCCCCCTACCTACCTGCCCGTACCCTCCGTTCCTCTGGCTCTGGTCTGCTCCACGTCCCCCGCCCCAACCGCCCTACCATCAGTGGTCGGGCCTTCAGCCTCTCAGCCCCCAGGCTCTGGAACTCCATCCCCCAGTGCCTTTGCCTTGCTTCCTCCCTTTCCTCCTTCAAGGCCGGTCTCAAAACCTTTCTCTTTGACCGTGCCTTCAGCTCCCCTCTCGACTCTCTTCCCCCTCCTCGCTCCCTCCCTTCCCTCCCCTCACCCTGACCATTTCCCCCCTCCTTGCTCCCTCCCTTCCCTCCCCTCACCCTGACCATTTCCCCCCTGCTCGGGTCATGACCCAACTGTGCAGCGCCTTGGGACGTCCTCCTGACGTGAAAGGCGCTTTATAAATGGAATCTTGTTGTTGTTGTTGAGTACCATTGGTGGCCTAGGATGATCGACAATATTGGAGCTGCTCCAAGATTGGGGTAAAAGGGTCAGATGCTTTCAACAACTTGCACTTATAGAGCACCCTTTAGGTGGGATATCATCTTATAACAATAATCCTTGAGTTTGATATAGCGCCTTATCATGTCATTGATACATCTCAAAGTGCATTATAGAATATATTTAAAATGGATTGACTGTTTTTTGTGGGCGAAATCTAAAGGAAGTGAGCAAGGAAGGGGCGAAATTAAGAGAACAGTTACCAGAAAGAAACAAATGTTTCCCTCCATCTTGCAGCCTTTTTGTCAATGTGTTCTTTAATTATGTATGTAATCACCTAATGACATATTCAGCTATTTCAATGAAATCAAAAAATGCAGCTTTTTAATTTGAGATAAGACTACATTAAGGGGTTCAGCATAAAACAATGAATAGATCCCGGAGATTAATTTTTTACTTACTTGAGCCGTCTGAGTGCATCTGGTACAATCTTCTTATCATTTTTTGTTAGTGTGGGGGTCTTTGAAACTTCCTCTAGATATTGTTTTGAGTGCTGTGTTTTATCATCTGATCAGGAAAAAATATAAAATTTAATTCCACTTTCTAAATAAATAAAAATTACAACCCTATTTTCTATATTTACCAGACTGTTCACCTTAGTTGCAGTGTCACAAATGGAAGCAGTGCTTAGCATATGTGTGTAGCATTGAAGGCCAGAAGTACTATACTGAGACACTATCCAAAAAAAACTCTTCTTCCCCCGGATCTGCCAAATACAGCACTCATTAGAATTGTTTTGAAGGTCCATGTACACCTACACATGGGGTTCCTATTTCATTAACATCACATGGTATGAAGAAAAACTCAAGAAATATCTAATTATTACAAGGTTGAAATGGTAGTCAATGCTTTTTATGACTGGGGAGGCCAATCTGGAATTCAGTATACCCTTCCTTCACCACTACAAACCTCTTCACCTGGTGCAAAAGCATTCTTGAAGCAAAAATTGCATTTGGGCAGGGTGAATGAAACAACCCTGATACCTGGGGGCAGGACTGCTTCTGGTGTGATTGACCAATTTTGGGAGTGAGAAAAACAAGGGTGATGAAATGCACACAGAGTCCCAGTTACAGTTTGTTTAACAGTGAAACTGAAATAAGAGCAACTCAGAATGAGGGGATTGGTGGGAGATAAACATTCTTCTGTTCCCCAGTGTTTTCATTGTTCTACCTCCACTGCATGATTGTGCCAGCTGAGAGAGGGTGCAGTTTTAGATCATATGACATTTCAATTGGGAGCACATACTAACTTAAGAGTTACAGAAAGCCTTTGCAATATATAACAATTGCTCCCAGTGACAGAGAAAGAGAGAAAGGTTAATCTATAGTGTCTCACCCCATTCATAAATGTGTTGCACCCACCTATCGTTTTCCTGTTGATGGACTGTTTAATAACTTCACTTCCCATCACCATTGCAGGTTGAAATCGCTTTGACCTTTCTTCAAAAAACCACTCACCGGTAACTACCCTCAACTCTCTGTTAAAACAAAATGAAATGCTAGAACAATAACATCTGCAAGCCCAAGCAAGGAATAATCAAGAATATGCACTCCACATTTTGAATGTTCTCAATGTCTTTTCATACAATCTCTAACTACTTAACTGTTTAAGTTAAATGGCTTGGGAATGTTTAAAAACATCCATTAGTGGAATATTCTCATGACTCAAAATTGTAAATGCATTGTTTCGGAGAAAAATAGTAGTTCCTGTCAACAATATTTACAAAGAGATTTCTTTTCAAATAATACCATTTCTGACATGCTCTGGGGCATTATAGATACATTTTAATATCTATTCTCTTAGGATCTGAAGCTTCACATTTTTTGTGCCAAGAGTCATTGCCATTGTTGTCACATGTCAGTGTGCTTTGTGAGGTTGACTGTTATTTTCACTCCAAAGTCTTTTTAAGCTCCCAAAACTAAAATGAATTTAGATAGCCTGCACCCAGAATCTATTTAGCACATGCGCATGGCATAATACTGTTCAGATTTCAGCACAAATCTGACTCAAAAGCTTACTGTTTCATTGGGAATGTGGTCAATACATATTGAGTGGAGAGAACTTTACTCTGCATCTAGCCTGGAGTGATGGATGTGAACCCTGGGGTCCTGACATGAGATGCGAACAAAGGATCTTCTTGGATGAGAACAATGTTAAATCAGTAAATATACAATAGTGCTGTCTGAAATTAGATAACATAATAATAATATTTAATCTATGTACAGAAGAGATATGGGGGAGAAATAATAATAATAATCCTTGCATTTGATATAGTGCCTTTTCACAATTTTGAGACGTCTCAAAGCGTTTCACAGGATACACTGTAAAGCGTAGTGACTATGTGTTTTGTGGGCGAAACGCAGCAGTCAATTGTGCACAGCAGTGTCCCTCAAACAATCGTGGTTAGAGTGAACAAATTACTATTATTATTTTGAAGAGATCATTACCCCTAGAAAGCGACTGGCTAACAAACAGGTTCCTACTCACTGCTAGGTAAACAGAGGCATGTGTGTGGAGTAAGGAAACTTGCCTAAGGTTTCGCCCTGCCCGGGAATTGAACCCAGGTTCATTCACTTGCGAGGCGAGCGCTCTAACCACTATGCTACAGGACTCCGGTGTAAATATACTATAAAGTGTAGCAACTGTGTTGTGTTTTGTGGGCGAAAATTAGAAAAATAATACACAAGGAAAGAATTTCCAAGTGTGTTATGATATTAGGTCTGTTGATAGTTTATTCTATGCATCTCTTCCCCCCTCCCATGTAACAATGTATTCTATTTTAAGTTGAAACACTTAATCATTAACATCAAATAGTTTAAAAATATGCAAAATCTTTCTCTGATGGCTCAGTGGGCAAATGCACTGTGCGACTAGGCCTTGAGTTATTCAAATCGGGAACGCACAGTAATAATGCTGTCTCGCTGATAAGTTATGGTTCCATGAGCACGAACAGCCCTTCAGTACCAAACCCATGACTTTCCTGTTTTAGCCTAAGGGAAAGATATTCGACGATCTTTGTTGTACAAAACTGAAACCTGTCTGTTTTTTTCTGATATCCATATATGGCACTTTGTAATTAGGAGTTACTGAACAGTGGTAAGCCATGAAAACTGACAGTTATTGTCATACATTATGATAAATGCAACTATGGTGCCCCTCTAACCAACCCAACCCAGGGAGACAGATGAACTCAGCATTGACAAGATATCGAACTAAGGATCTTCTTGGTTTATACAGATCAACTTGATTCTTGGTTTACCTATTGGGCAAGCCGTCTGTTTTATTTTCTGACTACTGAGATGTGTTTCGGAATGATTGTGGCACAGTATTATAATTAGTTTCTTTTTTTATATAATAATGACAATTTATAACATTGAATTCAATTAACAAACACATTGAAGTTTATAACCATCCAATGAACTTCAGATATTAGAATACTTATGCTTAATGATTGTGTATATAATCACTCTAGTTATTATTGGTAGTGGAGTTTGGGAAGGATTTTGCATGTAACACAATTGAACACTTGATCACAGTTTGCTCAATCTGTGGCCAAGTGCAAATCTGCTTGCTTTGGCTTCAAAGCAATTGGAATGTATCCTTGGAATTCAATTGATACAGTAAGGAACAGAGCTGTGAGCCTGTTCCATACGTCATTTGGAGTTCGAGGGCCATAGGAATTTGATCAAGGACGTAAAGCTCCAATTCTTCAGAACTTATTTTGGTAAAGTATATTTAGTCAAAAAATACATTTACTAATATTTGAGTTGTTTCTAATCTTTTCATCGAGTTCAAATACATACGCCATTTTTGCACACATGTTGCATTTCCAGGACCCATCTTCACTCACAATGCGACACTCCGTACACACACGTTCATTGCATATCTGGCACATATCCCCTCTGCAGAAGATAAGCCCTAGAGTTTTTTGGCATCGTTTACAGGCTCTGTCATTAATTTGCTGATTTCTTCGATTCACCCCTGAACCACGGATCCTAATAAGCTCATTCTTTAATTTCCTGTAAGAAAACAGAAGAATCTCTCAATGATTTAATACAACAACAACTTGCACTTATATAGTGCCCTCCCCGCAGGGCAGCATCTCAGAGCGGTGGAGCCTGACTCTGATCCGGGGGATATGGGAGGTGGCCGTAAGCACGGTCTAACCTAGACTATAGTCACTCTGATGTAAGAGTGATATTGACTCAATATATGAAAACTATGCTCATAGGGCTGATTGTCCCATTAATAACAGAATTTGGTAACATTTCCAAATATACTCCAATAGAACATCAACAACAATAAATTAGCTCACAGGTACAAAAAAGTAATTAAAAAGATGTTGGCCTTTATCTAAAGGGGACTGGAATAAAAGGAGAGGAAATGATGCTTGAACTAACTAGAGCCTTAGTCAGGATATTAAGGGATACGGGGCAAGGGTGGGTAATTGGACTTGAGGTACAGATCAGCCATGATCTTATAGAATCACAGAACAGACTCGAGGGGCTTAAGAGCCTGCTCTTGTTTCTCTGTTTCTATTGAAGGAGGCAAGGAAGGGAGCAAGGCGAAGGGAATGTGGGATGGAGTTCCAAAGGGTGGGGGCAGTGAGTCTAAAGGCCCAACTGCTGATGGTGGGGCAGGCCGGGTGAGGGACATTTTCACTCTTAAGTACCAATATGGAGTCCTGTAGCTCAGTGGTTAGAGCACTCGCTTTGCAAGTGAGAGACCTGAGTTCAATTCCCGGCAGGGCGAAACCTTGGGCAAGTTTCCTTACTCCACACGCCTAATAATAATCCCTCCAAAAAACAAAACAATAATAAATTGGTCATTTTCAATCTACGACTGTTTGTGGGACATTGCTGTGCGCAATTGGCTGCCGCGTTCGCCCACAAACATACAGTCAATTCACTTTACAGTGTGTTCTGTGAAGCGCTTTGGGACGTCCTCCCGACGTGAAAAGCGCTATATCAAATGCAAGGATTATTATTATTATTATTATTATAATATAGTGACTGTATCATGACTCACCAGAAGGTCTGTAATTATAACATTAGCATTTGTATTCATATATTTCACTGCAAATACTAATGTATTTTTGTTTCTTGTAACTCCAGTTACCTAGACTTCTTTCTGCAATGAAACTCTGATAACAATGACAGAATTATGGATGAGTCATGAATTATTAATATGTTTCTATTACATATTACTATACCTTCTTATGTCATATAAAGCTGCTTTTCATGTTCCTACTATTTGTCATTCCACTGGTAATTAAAGGTATCACCCTTTACCTTTAATAATTATAATTGCATCAAACGCCTTGAGACATCCTGCTGACATGAAACACACTACATATTGTAAATGTACTGAATAATTGCATTTATATAGTGCCTTTAATGTAAAATAAAATGTCTCAAATTTCAATAGATTAGAAATTAAGTAGTATACAGATGTATGAAAACATGGAAATTCATCTGCCAAAGAAATGACCCACAAATAACAATGAGATGAACATAATAATAATGCTTGCATTTGATATAGCGCCTTTATCACATCTTTGAGATGTCTCAAGCAGCTTCACAGTAAAGTGAATTTACTGCATACTTTATGGGCGAAATGCGGCAAACAATTGCAGACAGCAGTGTCCCACAAACAATCGTGGATTGAAGTGACCAATTTTTTTTTTTTTAAATAAATTTTTGAAGAAATTATTACCCCCAGAAAAGTGATCCACCAATCGACTAACAACCGGGTTCCTACTTACTGTTAGGTAAACAGAGGCGTGTGGAGTAAGAAAACTTGCCCAACGTTTCCCCTGCCGGGAATTGAACCCAGGTCTCTCGCTTCTGAGGCGAGTGCTCTAACCACTGAGCTACAGGACTACACAAAACATATAACAACAGCAAGATTACATTTGTATAGCGTCTTTCACGTCGGGAGGACGTCCCAAGGCGCTGGATGGCGTATAGCATTTCAGACTCGAGCTGGGGTCAGGGAAGGAGAAGGGAGGGGAGGGGAAGAGAGGTGACCAATGGCATGGTCGAAGAGGAGGGTTTTGAGGCGGGACTTGAAGGAGGCTAAGGAGGGGGTGAGGCGGAGTGATTGGGGATGGAATTCCAGAGGTTGGGAGCAGAGTGGCTGAAGGCTCTCCCGCCAATGGGGGACATGGAGCAGGCTGGAGCCGGCTGAGCGGAGGGAGCTGGGTGGGTTGGTAGGGGGTAGGAGCACTTTACAGTGGCAGAGTCTGATAATGAGCCAGAGGGAGAGGGCGGGGGACGGGGGTAAGCACGATCAAAAAGGAAGGTCTTTAGACAGGATTTGAAGGTGGGGAGGGACGGGGCAAAGCGGAGGGTCTGAGGCAGAGAGTTCCAGAGTTTCAGGTGTAGTGGCTGAAGAAATAGCCACCGATGGTGGAATGGAGGACACGAGGGATAAACAGGAGGCTGAAGCCAGCCGAACGGAGGCAGCAGGTGGTGGAGTAGGGGGTACGCTAGGTAGGGAGGTGCAAGGGAATGAAAAATGAGAGGATCTTGAAATCGATCCGTTTGGTGATTGGGAGCCAGTGGAGCCTAACAAGGACTCGTGTGATGGGGCTACGGAGTTTTGTGCGAGTGAGTATCCAGGCGGCGGAGTTTTGAATTAATTGGATTTTATGTATGGTGGAGCTGGGGAAACCAGCGAGGAGGGCATTAGAATATTCCAGTCGGGAAGTGACAAAGACATGAACGAGGGTTTCAGCTGCATCGGTTGTGAGGTACAGACGGGGCGGACAATGTGACGGAGGTGAAAAAAAACGGTCCTGGTTAGGGAACGGATGTGTCGTCGAAAGGAAAGCTGGGGATCGAACTAATTCCTAAGTTATGAATGGGTTCGGAGGGTCTGAGGGAGAGCCCGGGAAGGTTGAGGAGTTCAAAATTAACGCCAGAATAACTGGAAGAAAACCTGCATATTTATTTCAAAAAGCAAAGGTAGGGTATGTATCTCCATCTGAATTACAAGGCAGATGGGACCTAAAATGAATAACAATAAAAGAATGGGATAACTAACTGAAAATAAATATTGAAATTTTACATAATAGATTATTATAATAGTAATCCTTGCATTTTGTATGAAAACACAAATGTAAGAGAAGCAAATGTTACATCTAATCTTAATCATGCATAAATACTGTCATTTTTTTCCTCACTAAAGTATTTATCATTGCTGGAAGTCGATTGCAAAATATAATGCTGGAGGATTGACCAGCCTATCAAAAGAAGAAAAATATATACTATTGCTTTATTGATGAGAAAATGTAATTCACCTGCAATACGTTCAAAATACAACCAACACTTCTCTAGTGTTCCCGATTTCTGAGATTGAAAAGTTAACTGCATAGGAGATAAACTGCTCCCTAATGTGACCTTCATGGTAAATTAATGTTAAGATTAATATTAATTTTCCAGGAGCTTTTAAAACTGAGTATTAATGGTTTCAGTTAAACTGTGAATGAGAGAACAGTGGAAATAACCACTGTACAACTATAAAGGTACTGACATTTAATGGTTGTCAAATTAATGTTTTCATTTCTCTGGAGAGCTCAAGTGACAAAATGAATTACTAAAATGGGATTGATTAAACTGCCAGGCACAATTTATTTTGTCTGGAAATTCACGAGATTGAACCTGGCATATCACTGACATTAGCAGAGAAACTGTGGGGCATTATATCCCTCTATTCTGAAGGAGTCAGCATCTCGGTCATTACCAGTGATCAGACCAAGGTAATCAACAAATCCGTGGCTTCAATTTATTGATACATTTACCGAGATTTTAGTTGAAGAATGTTTCTTTGAGAAAAAAAATCATTTGCTTCCCTCCTTGCAGATTACATGTCAACACAGATATTTTACCAACACTGCACTAGTTCTGGCCTTGACTGACACAAAGCACAGTTCAATGAGGACGATCATACAACAATGACACTTGCGATCTTTCTGTTACACGTTTATAATGGAAAATCCCATAGTAAACACCTTAAAAAAAACATAGTGTTGGTGATTGTCATATAATTTGCCTGCTTGTGAGGCTGTGAAAGATTAGATCAGATACTAAGGAAAGAATTCCAAACCTATTTACAGACATCAAGGATGGTGAAAAACAAAAGGAGAAAAAAGTGTCAGATGAAATTTACAACTTCATCAACATACACCATTCATTGGGTGGTAAAATCAAACCCTGTATGATTGAGTCAGCATGTTTATGTACTGGGATGTCTGAGAAATTGTTCATGGTCATTATTATCATTGTTATTATAATCACATTGTTCATGTGTGAGCCTTGGGAGTGAGCAATGATTGCCACTTGACTGTAGAGACCATTACAGCAAATTATGACTTCTTTCCATTCAGTTGGTACATACATACTCAACCAGTAGAGAGTGCTGGAGAGGGACTACAGGCAGGAACTCTGGCTGTTCCTTCCCTCTCTAATCCTGGGAAGATCACGACCAATTTAACCATCTCATGCAGCCCTCACTGAGAACAGCAAGCTCAGTACAAACTGGAATTCAAACTCCTGGTCCATAACCTGTCTACTTACACTATTGCGGCTGACCCATTTCACAATTTTTTAAATTCAGTCAGAATTTCGAAACCAATTTTATGTGAGCTCTTTTAAGAACTACAGAAAATAGCTTAAAAATTAAAAATAGAATCACTAATTTGCCAAATTCTGGGTGCTCTGAAATGCTAAGAAAATAGATGAAATCAACATCCAAGTAAAATTTCTCTCCAAAAGCACTTATTCTAAAAGATGAAGATTTGAATGGGAGGATAGCCAGAAAGGAGAAAGGAGTAACCATAAATTAGCACATTGGTTTCTTGTGAACGCATATATATATTTTTTNCTGTACGTCTTAGTAATTGAATTGAAGTAAAATAATATTCTATGAAACCAAACAGTGTTTTCTCTGTGTATATGTCTTCAATCCGGAGTCAGTTGCATTGTAGTTAGCGCACTCGCCTCACAAGTGAGAGGAC